TTCTCTATGTCCTCTTCCCTCTTAGAAGTGCAGGGAGACAGGGAATGGGGGTTGTATAAAGTTCATCACGTGTTGTCTCTACCACTCTTTCCTCCCTGCACTCTTTCCTTTTCCAGTGTGTGGTCCCTTCCATGGGAGACAGTTCTCCACAAACTTCCCCAACAGGAGTCCTTCCCACAGGCTGCACTTCTCTGTGAACTCCTCCAGTGTGGGTCCATTCCACAGGGGTCAGTCCTTCAGCAGCAGTGGCTGTTCCACTGGGCTCACAGGTGGGCTCCTCTCCCCATGTGGCCACATATCCTACCAGGAGCCTGCTCCAGCACAGGCCTCCCACTGGATCATGGCCTCTTTCGAGCATCCACCTGTTCTGGCATGGGATGCTCCAGAGGCTGCAGGTGGATCTCTGCTCCACCCTGCACCTCCATGGCTGCAGGGCACAGCTGCCTCACCATGGGCTGCACCAGGGGCTGCAGGGGAATCTCAGCTCTGGCACCTGGAGCACCTCCTGCCCCTTCTTCTGCACTGACCTGGTGGTCTGCAGGGCTGTTCCTCTCACATGTTCTCACTCCTTTTTTCCGCCTACTGTTTTGCAGCAGTTTTTGCCCTTTCTTAACTTTCCCTCACACACCACCACTAGTGGCTGGGCTTAGACTTGGCCAGCAGCAGGTCTGTCAGTCATGGGGGAGCTCCTGGCATCTCAGAAGCCACTCTTGCATCCCCCCTGCTACCAAAACCTTGCCACACAAACCCACTGCAACTGTATGCTTTCTGATTTATGTCTACAAAGTATGGATTTCTTTGGTTGGGGTTTTTTCTTGCAGTTCTGTTTGACAGTTAAGTCAATTTAAACCTGAAGTATTGCCATGCAAAACAGGGAAAGCATTTGTGGCAAAGAGTCTAAATGTTTACTTGATTCATACTGGGGCTATGTAACTTTGATTACATTTGAGATTTTTTTCCCTTATGATCCAGGACTTCAAGATGACAGGAAGAGAGTTTCTTGAACTAGATTCTCCACAGCAGAGACTAATTTTGGAAAGATTTAAGCGGATGGAAATCATACAAAAGATGTTCAATGAGCTTCCTAAAGCAGATCAGTAAGTGCTGGTAAAATAAATGAAGATAAGTGCATCAAACATTTCAAGTCTTGGAGGCTTTTCTTTTTCCTTCTTCTTGTTTTACAAATTTTTCTTGCAGTCACAAAATTAGTTAATTGTGAAGATACTTCTTATTGTCCAGAACAGAAAACCTGTTTTGTGTTTTTTCAATATGGTTATTTCAGTGCTGGCTCTGGTCCTGCTCAGCTGGTTTCTGGCATGTGCTCCCCAATGCTGAGGGTTCTGGAACGGCTGATCTGTTCTGACTGGCTCTGAGCATTCTCGCAGTCCTGTGCTAGAGCTGGAACATTTTCTAGGAAACTGAAATGTGTTTCTGCTGGAGTCATCTTGTGTCCAGCAGGGCTGGCCTGGGGCCAAAACTGAGTGCGCATCAAGCTGCTGGTTTCTGCATTTCATTCTGCACCGCTCCCTGTTTCAGGAAGGCGAGACTAAGGTGTCCAGGTGGTGGTGGGGGAGTCAGCTGGAGTCCTGCAGGCTCACCAGCAGGGTTCTGTACAGCACAAAGCCAGCTAAATGCCTTCTGGGCCTCAAAAATGACCTTTTGGTTTGTGATACTGCATGCCACTGCAAAACCTTACCAGACTTAAGCTGCTTCTGTTAGGAGCCATTTGCATGTGTGTATCAGCTTGGATAATTTTTTTAGAAATAAGAGTAATCAGAAGCTTATTTTATTTATATTTTTTTAATAGGACTAAATTGCTGGCTAAACAAACTGCTGGTAGTAACACAGGGCCTCCCCACACAGGTGAGAAAGCAAAGGCTGCAACTTTGTGTAGGATCTGCTGCCCTCAGCCTCCCAAACTCCTCCGTCCCCAGGAGAGGCTGATACTCAGTAGTGATGTGGTAATAGATGTCTGTTAATATCCAGATAATGTCTGGATAGAAACTCTGGACTTATGGATTGCTGGGCCTTGGAAAGAAGTAGCTGCCAGTCACTGGCAGGACTTGCAACTTGTATCCAAACGGGCTCACTGATGTTTGGAAAGGAAGAGCAAGCATGCTGCAGTCAAACTCAGAGTTCCTGTTTACCCAAGCACTTGTTTTTAAAACTAGGGAGCTCAAACAAACAAAAAACCACAAACCCCAACTCTTCCATCCTCCTTTCCTTTTCTTTCGTGCAGTGTAGCAGTTCTGTACCTCACTAAGTAGATTCTGCTGGTCCTGGGTACATTAAGTTGCTCTGGTTTGGGTACTAATAATGCTGTTAAAATTTTAATTTCAGTCCTCCATATTTATTGTTGTGTTTGCCTGTGTTTCACTGCCTGTGATTGTAAAGGTAAAATTTGAATTTTCCTATTCAAAACAAGAAATAGTTGGTGTCCTTGATGTCTGACATTTTAAATGTTTTAAGTTTTGTGAGATTAGCAAGTACATCTCTGAAATCTTTTCCACAGTGCTTAATATTACTCAAAACATTAAAATGTAGAATTAAAAGTAGATTGACTTGATTTTTTAAAATTATATCTTTTATTGTATATATATTCCCTCATTTCTTTTCAGAAAATATTATCCTTAGAAACATGCTTATTTAGGAGAGCTTTAATGAAGTTTCCATCAACTATATAATGGGAGGAAAAAATTGTAGCAACAGCTTTTCAACTTGTCATTTTGCTCTTGAAGTGTGTAGCATATGACAAAGGATGTGGCACTGGCTGCTTTTGAAAATAGTTACTCTCCATTTTGCACCAGTGAGAGATTGTCTCTTACCCCTTGTTGCAGGAATTTCAGAAGAGAATTGTACTGTTGACTAAACTAAACTTTTTTACAGTTCTCAGTTGCTGAAACGACTTTCCCTCTTTGACAGGAACCTTTGTAATCATGGAAAATTCTTCCTAGCTGCAAATTCAAGCTTATGTGGCTTAACAGCAAATAATTTCTTCAGGAGCATCCTACATGTCAGAAAGGCTTCCCTGGTGTCTGCTATGCCAATGGCTGTTATTCCATTTCTTTCAACAGCAGCAATTTATGAAGTTTTTGTGCATGACCCTTTATTTTCAGGTAAAAACCTCTTTATTCCATTTTTTTTCATTTTGAAAGGGCTTTGCCTTCTGTAACACTAGAGGAGCTTTTTCTCACTGCAGAACAGTGCTCTTAAACTGTTGTGGTCTTCAAAAATCTCCGTTTGTAAAGCAGAGTTTGAAAAACAATGCATTGGACCGCAGTGAGTTCTCAAAGTGGAGTGGGAAAGGACATACATATGTTTATATCTATTTCTAAAAAGATTATTTGACACATTACTTTCAGCATTTTTCACTCAAAGTCATGCAAAAGTGACTGCAACAAATCAGTTCAATTTCCCCCCCATCTGTACAATTTCATTTGAAGCTCAGCATTCGAATTATAAATTCCTCATGGGTTGCAGTGCAAGTGATTGTTTCTGGTTTTGTCTCAATTTCTGTTTTGGGACTGGTTTTGTTATTGTTTTGGGTTTTTTTGTAGTTGTTTTTTTAAAGAAAAGTCCTCTTTATAATTTTTTGCATACGTGTACAGCTTGGAAGTTTCTGTCAAGAGCCTCTTTTCAGATTGCTGCATGCAGCTTATAAATTGTTGTGGTGGAGCATGTGTGGATATTGGCAGTGAAATATGGTTTGCCACGCAGGTCAGCTGAACTGTGAAGTCTGTGCTGTGATCAGAGGAGGATTAGTAGGTGCTGTTGTGGGTGGTTTCTATCCCATTTTCCTGGCTATCCCCTTGAATGCAAGCCTTGCAGCCAGGTACGTCTTACTTACCTGCAGTGTATTGATTGAAATGTATTTATGAGTTAAATGTTCAGCTCTCAGTGTAAATGTTGTAGATATTTGATCTGTGCACACTTGTCTTCTTGTAGACATTTAGCATGTGGAAGGAGATATACATTAAGGTCATCTAATTACAAAATGAAGTTTGTAAGAGCTACACCAAAGTGAAATAAGATCTGCAAAGTGATCCATTGGGAAGCCCTTGTGTTTAGCAGAAGCCTTCCAAGTCTCCCAGGTGTGCCTGGGTGTGTGCTGTCATCCTGCCACCACTGAAGGTGGCTGGACAGCCAAAAGACCTCTCTGACCCTGGGTAGTGCCCAGCAGCCAAAGTCCCTGACAGGTGTCACTCTATGTAGTTCAGAGCACAGCAAGGGCAGCGCGAGGCTTGGTGAAACCTAGGGCATGGTCAGGGTGGTTTAAAGCATTTGTGCAGAGAGCTCAGTACCACCAGGTGTATTTAACATAGGAGAAGGAAGAGAAAATCACTATCTACATAAATATTTATGTTAAATCTTGACACTTGCATGGGAAAAAACGTTTCTACCACTGTTTCTGTTGTTTAGGTATATGTCAACTCCCTTGCCAGGGAAAGAAAATCTGTTACGCTACTGGCTCACAACTTCTCAGCCTGTCTTCAGAAAGATGAGTGTGGGTATACTGGTACAGGCTCTGACTGGATTATATCTTGCCACTAAAGAGCACGGAATATATATCAAAATGCTGCTGCAGATGAACAGTAGCAGGGATCCTGAAGAGCTACCTGAATGAAGTAGAGCAACTTCTCAATTGCCTTGGATAAGTAACCATAATAAACAAGAAAAAGAAGTGTTGCTGTGTCTTTTTAATACAAAAACAGTCTCTGCACTGGCTTTTTTTTAAGTTTTGAACTTAAATGCAGGTTAAACTTTCCATTATGCCCAGTTTAGTGTATATACCTGAATAACAGGGTTGCTTTGGAAATGGAAGGCAAGAAACATTTATAGTGCCTGCTTAATGTTTGGTTCTGAGGTGATGCTACAACTTTTAGAAGCTGTAAAAAATGAGTACTTTTGAAAAAGAGTGTTTTTCCTTCATAATGTAAACCATACAGATTTGGGTTTTAAAAAAAAACATGCACAAAAAAACACCCCACAACCAAAAGGGGAAAGATTAAGGTAAGGTTTTACTAGAGATCTACTCAAAATCTGAGTATTTTTCTCCATTCTGCTAGCACAAAACTTCTATCACAAGATTACTCCTTTTACACCATTAGATGGGTCACACTGTAGAGAACACTTCTATCACAAAGCAGTCAACAACCATAGTCCTGCCAGGCTTCCTAGCATATAAAAAAGCCAGCCTTTGGCCTTGTAACCGTTTTGCCTTGAAGTCTTTTCCTGAAGGATGGGGCTGTGCTGAGAGGCTTTTGAGGGCTGGTGCCATTACTGGGATATCTCGGCTACATCTCAGATCAGTGGTCCAGAGTAATGCCTTCATGAGTCAGGTGTGTCTTCACATGGGTGGCTGTATGTTTTAGAGCAATATAAATTGCAGTTCTCCTACTGCATGAGGTGTACTCTGCAGTCAGAGCTAAATCAGGAATTCTTCTACAGAAGCAATATTCGCCATAGGTGAATAGGGGCTGGCTTCTCCCAGACAAGTGAAGGACAGGAAGAAACAGCCTCAAACGGTGCTAGGAGAGTTTCAGGTTGGAGGCATTTCATTGCAGAAGGGCTTATTAAGCACTGGAATGGACTGCCCAGGGTGACAGGAGTCCCATCCCTGGAGGTGTTCAAGAAACCACTGGAAGTGGCACTTGGTGCCATGGTCTGGTTGAAGAGCTGGTGATGGGTGAAAGGCTGGACTCAGTGATCCTGGGGGCCTGTTCCAAACCTAAATGGTTCTATAACTGTAAAAGCTCTACAGCTACTGGTCAACAGTCACTTCAATAAAATTCTAGCATCCCCTGAGCTGCACATGGACATATTTATTCCATGCACATGAAAATATTTATTAACGAGAATTAAGAATTCAGCATTGAGACCTTTAATTGAAAGGGGTTAAAATTTATGCTGTAATGCTGATGAAAATATATTGAAGGAGTTCCATCATCTTTATCTACTTTTTCCTTAAAAATGGGTCATTGCAGCAGGAACATGACACATTATTTATCTATACACAGGAGCAGCAGCCTGATTTGTACAGGGGAAGCAGCAATACAAACTGTTGTTAGTAGAGATCATTTAGCTTTCCTTGATTCAAAGTATTGCTGTGTCACACGTGGTGTTCCCTCCTGTTCTGCACCCAGACAGCTTGGCCTTACCTTAATCACCCCGACTGGAGATTCCCATGGACCACGTATTTCACATGACAGTGAATTGTCATATCTCCGGAAGGCATCAGACTTTAACCAACAGAACCACTTACCTGTGATAATAAAAACATATAATAAAGGTGTTATTGTGCAATAGTGTCTTGAAGAATGACAGCGATTGGCTCAGTGATGTTTAACATTATATAGTTAAAATACTGTAAAAACAGATTCCAGTGCTTATTAAAGGGTGAGATTCAAAAGGATCTTCCCTTGCACATACTACTTTCATTTTGGTATAAATTGAAGTGATAATTATCCTCAGTCATCAAAATGCACGTTCTGATGTTCAGTGGTCTGATCTGGACAAACCACATCCTTTTAGATGATCCTTTCTTAAAGTGAAAGGTGAAAATTGTATATTAAAAAGAAAAGATACATTCCTCAACATTTTAGTGAGTTGCAAAGACTAGTTGTTTCCAGCACCACTGATAAACACACAAATTGCAGGCATGTACTTCACATGTTCAGCATTAGTCACATCAAAGGTCAGCTGAACACTCCTGAGACTAGAAAGGTGGTGTGTCTGTAAACAAGGAAACTTCAGTTACACCCTCTGTACTTCTCAAAAGTATTGAGGGGAAGAAGTGTTCTCAGAAGTCAACCAATAAAGTCTGAAATTGTTTCAGAATTCCACAGGACACCAAGACACTATCCCAGTTCTGGCATGCATGTGTATGGAGGAGTGCCTACACAGGAATCTGGGAATGTTCCTTCCCCTCCCTGTTTCATACACAAGATATGACCTACCTCCTGCAATCCCCAAGAACCAGTCCTCAACCTCTGACAACTGTAGCAAACTGCCCACAAACACTGAGTGAGAACAGGTGTTAGTTGAATCCTAACTGAAACAAGGCAGGCACAGGCTACATATCCCAGAGAAAGGACTTCAGGTTACTCCAAGTCACTATGGCCAAAAGGACAAGAATAGCTACAGATAAGAGCCAACAGAAATACTAATAAAGTTCCACTTTTTTCTTGTAGATGAACCATTCTAAATGCTGTCTCAACATTACAATGTATTCTACTTCTCCTGCACATCTTCCTGGTATATGTGCAAGTCCTGCCCTTGGCATCCTCTTGCTAATGATTACAGGCAGTTATTTCTCCACATCTGCATATCCCACTTAAACTGTGTGGAAAAATGTAGAATCAGCAGCTGGTAATGTGCAATTTTTGCACAGAGTCCATTTGAACAGCTCCCATACTTTACATATCCTTTGGACATTTTACAGTGTAACTAATAGTGAGTAATACAGCCCTATAATCACAATATTGCTGATTCCAGCAGAAAACCTCCATAACTGCAAACTCTACAAAACACAGCATTTTAAAAATCAGTAAATGTGAATTTTGCCAAAGATTCCTGTGTTTCACAGGGAAAACTGATTACGATTTTGACAAATGGCATGAGAAATCTGATTATCTGGAAATGCCAAATGCTGGAACATGGCTCCCTGCATTTCCTTTGATATCTTTTCAGGCAGCTACAGCTTACAGAAGTACCAATTTGTTTTTAACCCCCAAATGCTGCAAAGCTCTTCAGAGGAAACAGAAGTTAATTTAGAACACTACCAAGAGTCACAGCACCAGGATCAAACTCCAAGGACTAAAGGAGAACTGAGCATGAAATTGTCTCTTATTTAGACACTAAATAGTCTTCAAGTGGCTCTGTTGAGAAAAAAAAAAAGGAAAATGCAGGTAGCATAGCTGTGCAGCTGATCACTGGCAGCACTTGGTTCTGTGGTACATACAATTTACCAAACACGTTTCAGTACTGATTATTTCTACAGCTAGAGGCCAAAAAGGCAGAGCATGAGAGTTTGCTTTTATATTTTTATGCAGTATTTTTTGTGAAATGCTTCTTTTTATCAAGCTGCACTAGAATCCCCTCATGCTAGAAAGCCAGTGCACTGTTTTAAACTGTCCTCTACAAATAAAGATGAACAGAAATCTGAACATACAATATATGGCCCAATCCAGAGCCATGAGAATGTTCTGTCCTTTCAGCACTATCAAACCTTTTTTTTTTTAACACTCACTGCAGTGTTTAGTGTGGAAATAGCAATTTGATCAAAGAATGTGATTCAACAGCATGTAATTAACCAGTCATGAAACTTCAGAACCTAAAATAAAACAAAAAGGAAGAAGATGGCAATAAACCATAGAAGAGTTTATGTAAGTATTTTACTCGTCCATGGTATATTGATCAAATCTATCCATATTAACAAAAAAATTAAGAACTATGAAATACAAGAAGTGCTAATTCTCAGAAGTACAGCTTTACCTGCAGTTCAAGGAATAACACCTTTGTGTTGTCCTCACCACAGAATTACTTTTAAAGACAGAAGAGCAAGAGCATTTCTCCTGCATACCCTGATCCATTACATCTTGTCTTCCAGCTGATGACCCAGAGACCGCAACAACATTTTCCCCTTTCTATTTTACCACTTTGTTTAACGAACCAAGTCATTCACGAAAAGATGAAAAAAACATTTGAGCCCATAAACTGAAAGATCAACAAGTCTGATTTTATTATGATATTGTATTCTTATCTGAATGGCACATAATTACAAAGAAACATTTACAATATATTTTCAAGTATTAAGTAATTTCAAGGCTTTCACTTCAAAAAGCTACATTAATAATACACCATACAGATAGTACAGTTGGTTAGTTTCAAATAACTTCCTCCCTTCTATTTGGTTTAAATATGATTCAGTAGGCACTAGAAATGCCTGCAGCCACTGACTTTCTTGGGAGTTGACCTTGTTCTTGTACCACAATACATCATTTTACATGTCAGAAAATCAGCTGCTCTCAGACACAGCCACAGGTCGTGTCACACAGAGCATTGTGCAGGTTCACAGCAGAGGCCAGAGGAACTGTCCCTGACCCTGCCATTCAGCAGTGATGCGACAAGAAAGAATGCATACTTAAATTAACTTAAAAAACACTCCTACATTGAAGTAACTGTAAAAATACCACTGGAACATCCCATGCTTGCTACATTAGTGTTTCTCTTTTCCTCAAGCACGTTAAACTGAAAAATAAACCACGTTCATGAAGTCTGAGCTAGGCAGGTTGAGATTAGCTTGAACCTAAATTACTTCCATTTTGCATATCAGTCAGTGCAGGTCCTGGTGGTTAACTCTGACTCCCATGCACTGGTACAACCCATCAGTCACAGCAGAGTTACCCAAGTTAAGACTCAAACTTTGAACAGCCCTGTTGATGCCACCACAGAGGTGTAAGGTCACACATATTCCACTAAGTCTCTTTTGTGCTGGCAATATCCCCTGAACAGATGGAATTCTGCATACAGTGGAGTAAAACCTGTTTGACAGACTATTGCCTTTTAAAAAAAACCATCTTGGATGACAGTAAATAATCCCAGCATTCAACTTTTTTTTTTTTTTAACCAAAGACAGCGAAAGCCCTGTTACCTCTTTATTCTCATTTCTTATACTACCTTTTAAAATAAAGCAGGAAATGTGGCCAGCAGCTGGTCCCGTCTCTTCTGCCCCAACACAGCTGAATCCACTTTAGCATAAAGAAAAACAAGGATGCTAAATACACATATACTTTATCACACAGTGATGTTTCACAAAGAAAAATCAAACTCCTTTTCTACTGATGAACACGTGACAGAATCTAGCACCAATAAAGCAAATGACTGGGAGAAAATGCTTTCACTTACTTAGCCTTAAACACAAAATTTAAGGCTTTAAGAAACAAGACTTCAGAAACATTAAATAGTATAATTTTTTTTAAAAAACAAATTAATAAATGAAATTGTTTTAGAAAAGTATTCTTTGTGAAACCTCACTTTACATATTATAATTTTCACAATTCTTCTTCCCCCACCTGACATACATTTAAACAACCTAAATATTTTAATACAACTGAAAAAAGTACCCACTCATCTTTTGTGGTAGGGAGAAACACTGACTAGTACGAGAAAACACACACTATTTTTTTGTCAAACTATTTGTCCTCCTATCTCAGAAGCAATTACAGAGCACTTTTCATATCATTAGCCTCAAGATACATATTTGCTCATCTCCACACTGTGCTTAATTATATCAGGTTATAGATTTCTGGATACTGTAAGAGGCTAAATTAAGAACTCTACAGTAGAGTTATGCATATACATGCATATACATGCAGTATTTTTAAAATTTAAAGCTACTCTGAAGTAACATAGGAATTTCAGTGTGCATGGGCACAGAGATTTACTTGTGGGAAAGTAATGAGGTACTTTGATGCACTGATTCTTCAAACCTAATTCTCCTTAGAGGCCCACGCAAGAGCAACTCCTCTATGTGAGGATTCCTCTGCAGTGATTTAAAGAGTGCTCAGGCTGTTTCATCAGGTAAAAACTCTGCATCATGAATTAGAGCAAGCTAGAGAAGGGCTTTTGAATGGTACCGTGCATCACTAACACTAGACAGCATTTTAAACCAACAGGCCACCAATTCCTTTTCTTTTTTTCATTCAAAAAACAATTTACTTAGACTTTTAGGACAGTCTCCTGTAATAAAAGGCTATAAGTGTCACACCCCCCTTATTAGCATATTTTCCTTTTTCTGCTTATCAGATACTTGGTTTAATAGGAAAATTTCTATTTCAAATGCATGAGCAGTTTTCTAAAATTGAAAATGTAGCCCCTGTATTGGCTACTATGTAGCCAATGTGTTGTTTCAAAAATGAAAACAGGAAAATGGCTAATGAGAATGATGTGATTGTAGCCTTCACTATAAATTATACTCCGGAGCTAGAAACATTTTGGCAGAGTAGGCCAAGGACCAAAGAAATAATTTTCTGAACCAGTCATTACAAGAGACTGGGATAAGCAAAGCAAGCTGTCTGATACCACATTATGGGAATATATTGATCCTTACCAGGTTGCGAGGTGGGAAACGACTGTTCTTTAACCCCTACACAACGGAGCCTGGCAGGGCAACCACCTAAAAGAGAAACTGTCAGAGAGGTTTTAATAGTAATGTATAACTGAGATGCAGTACAATTTTATATGCATGCTTTCTTTTGCCGATCATTACTATTTTCTTAAGTCTGTCCAGTGACGATGTCATAATGGAGGTTTTGTTTGGTTTTCTAAGCAAGCATTTTCGGCTCCTCAGGATAAGCAGGCTAGACATTATCTGACTCAAGACCGGGTAGTCAGCATTATCTTTACTGCGAAGCGGAGCCGAGCACACCTTCATGCATCAAGTCGGCATGATCTTTTCACCCAAGTGCTGCGAACGGCTCTGGCGGCACCTCCGCGTGTGCACCACGCGCGTCAGTCTGCACGACCACTGTCGCACACAGCTCTGCGCGACTCCCATCGCCAAACAGGCTCACACCACTACCGTCCACACGCCAGATTTACAGGACCTTAAACCAAGGCCACCGTCTGGCTCCCAACGTGCCGTTCGAGAGAATTTTTGTTACCCTGGCCACTTAAGTAAGCGCCAGGCTCCCCTCCTTTGCATCTCCCCCAATACCACCCCATCACCACTGTATGGATTCTTTTCCTCCGCACCATCGCCTGCTTCCTCCGCCGCGACGCGAGGCCCTTACGGGTGAGAACCCCACGAGTACTTGCAGCAGGTACTTGACCCTACATTTTGAAGGAGGCCGCCGCCCGCCGAGCACAGATGGAGCAGAACTCCACCGACACCTGATCCCGGTCCACGTGCAGGCAGATCCCGCCGGGGGCCGCCCACTCCTCCTCCGTCCCAGTCACCGCCGCCGGCTCCTCCAGACCACGGGGCCGGGAGCTGGGCAGGGCGTAGTCGTGGTCGCTGCTCTCGCCGGCGGGCTGGAGGTGCTGGTGCTGGCGGCGGGGGCCGCCCGTGTCCCTGAAGAGGCTGGTGCCGAGCTGCAGCCCGCCGGCGCGGGTCCCGGCCAGGCGGCTCAGGAGCTGCCCCAGCGCGCTCTGGTTGGCCAGCACAGCCCGCAGGTAGCTGCTCTCCCGCTCCAGCTCTCGCAGGCGGCGGCTCAGGCCGCGGTTGCGGTCCCGCAGCTGCCGGTTCTCGGCAGCCAGGCCCTGCAGGCGGCTCTCCAGCCCCAGCACATACTGCTTCTTCTTCAGCCGGTTCAGCCGAGCCGCCGCCGCCGCCTTCAGCCGACTGCCGGCCCCGCCGCTCCTCCGCCCGGGCGCCGCCGGCCGCGGGCCCCGGCCCGGCGCGGGCGGCGGTTCGGGGTCCCCACAGAAGCAGTCGCTCAGCTCCGCGTCCAGGTCCCAGTCCGGCCGGGCGGCCTCCAGCAGGTCTCCCAGCTCCAGCCCCGGGAACCAGTCCTCTTGCTCCCACACCTCCAGCAGGCCGCCGGGCGCCTCGGCCTCCTTCTCCTGCCGCCGCGGCTCCGAGGCGCCCGGCGGCTCCCGCCGCGGCGGCGGCTGCGCTTTGGGCCGCGCGGGGCCCGGGTCCCCTTCCCCGCCGCCATCCCGCCCTCTCGGGGCCTGCCCCGCTGCGGCCAGCGGCCAGACGGCGCCCGAGGGGCTGGCCCCGCCGGCCGAGGCCGCCAGCAGCTGCGTGAGGCTGTGGCGCATGGCGGGGGAAGCGCCCGGCGGGACGGGACGGAGCTGCGGCCCGGCGCTGCCGCCGCGGGGCCTGCCGGGAACCGGCGCGAGGGCGGGCGGTGGGAGCGCCTCGCGACTGCGCCCGCGCGCGGGAAAGCGGCGTGTGGGAATGGGGGGGGAGCTCTTACCAAATGTGGAATGTGTAAACATTGCCTTGAGACGGGATGTTCCGTGGCGTGTGATCGTAGTATACTTTCAGAGAGAGATCCGTGAAACGGGGAGCAGCCAACGAGCTCTAAGGGATCTCCAGGTGTTAGAAGGACAAATTAATTGTCGCTAGAATTGCCTTGTTAAGGCTTAGGGCTCAACGTGTTTCAATGACCTCAGACCGAGGGGGAGGTTAACAGAGCTTGGGAAGAAGGATGTACTGCTGATAGTGGACGCAAAGAATGCAGAATTTACGGGACACAAGGACATCTGGCAGAACTCCCACGATAAGGAATAAATTAATAATCCAAACTCGGCAACTGTGCTACATCAGCTCCGACTGGGTAAAGCAATTCCAGCAGGGGGAGATCCCTCACCACCAACTCATGGACCACCGACCCCAGAAAAAAGAGAAAGACTGAGCATGCAAACTAATTAGCAAGAGAGACTCATTAACTGATAGACTACTAATTAATAAGAGAACGAGGTAACTTTTAGCTTGTAACACCTATTCCCTTGTTTGCTAAAATGTATAAATAGTAAAAAGTGTTGATAGTGTGTTTGATTTGTGGAATACCACTGAGCATCAAAGCTTTGCAACTCTGAAATAAATGAATGTCTCACATGTGTAATTATTGGCTTGTTGCACCCCAGGTAACAAATCCGATTTTTGTGGACAGCAGGGTGACAGGTGTGTGAGGCTGGGGGTGTGAGGGGAGACGTGTGTGGTTTGGGTGGTGAGAGGTGTGTAGGAAATGCGAGTGTGCAGGAGGGGAGCGTGTGAAGGAGGGAATGGGGGCAGTGACAGGGGTTTGTGTGTGAGGGAGCAGGGGGAAGGTCTCTCGCACTTAGCCATTGCCAAAGGGTGGGAAGGGGGATGTTCCTGAAGAGTGCAGAATGTGGGGTCTTTCCCACCACACCCTATGGCTGGGGCTGGGGCAGAGGCCTCTGGGGCTGTTCTGTCACACAAGGTGCAGGTGTCCTCTCACCAGATTTGGAGTATTTAAGCACCTGGTTTCAGGGTCTCTTGCAGTGACCAGAGAGCTACAGGTGCTCCTCATTGCCTATGGACTAATTCAAACAGAGCAGCCTCTCAGACCAAGGGTGTAGTGGGTAACGTGGCTCAGCTGGCATTTACACTGTAGCTGTCAGCACTGAGATTAACTAAACGTGTGTGTGGGGTGGACACCACGGACCAAGGAAGTATGGCTGAAAAATACGAGAATGTGGTCCATAAAACACCTGTGGAATGACACTTGTAGGAGGCAGATTAGAAGAAATGCTGTGGTTGTCACACAGCAGGTAGTAGAACAATACTTCTCACCTGGCTTTGCCGGGTTCAAGGGCAGTCCAGAGGAGTTCAGAGGAAAGGTTGCTAGCCGCTGCTGCTCATGTAGAGTCAGAATCACAGAATGGTTTGGGTTGAAAGGGACCCTGAAAATCACCTAGTTACACCTCCCCTGCCTTGAGCTGGTAAACCTTTCACTAGACCAGGTTGCTCAGAGCCCCATCAACCTCAAATTGAATGCTCCCAGGGATGGGGTCATCCACATCTGGGAATGTGTGCCAGAGGGAACCTGAGAAACCTGTGCCAGGGCCAGAAACCACATCTGGTTCAGGCAATCCTTGAGACTGGCCTCTAGACCTGCTGCTTCCAGTCATTTCTGTAAATGACCTTAATAGATACCAACTCTGATACCTTACTCTGGCTTATAGATACCCAGGACCAAGAAATACTCAATCCAATTCCTAAATTTTTGAGTTATCCCCAAGCATGGAGGATAGAACTTGACATACTTTGGAAGTGGCTGCCTACAGCCCAGGTGGAGGATTCTGTTTGGCCCCTCATGGTGGATGTTTTAGGGTTTGGGGTTTTTTTGTTTGGTTGGTTTTGTTTTTGTGTTTGGTTTTTTTTTTTTTTTGGGGGGGGGGGGTTTGTGTTTTTTTGGGGTTTTTTTTGTTTGTTTGGTTTGGTTTGGTTTTTTTTTGTTGGAGACTTAAAGAGCAGGAGGTGAAATTCAGCAGTAAAAAACTTCCTTCTTGCCTAGAAGACCAGAAAGAGAGAGTGGGAGGTCTCCAGATCACACAGTGCTGACAACAAAGATTTTTCTTATTATCAAAAGCTGCCAGATGTGCACAAAATGGAAGAGTGTATCACTAATATTTATCTGCAGGAAAAAGCTAAAAACAGGGGGGAAAAGCCCTGGTGGAACGTCTAGAACATCGTCCTGTTCCGAAGAACAGATTGAAATCACCCAAAAGACTTGAAATTTATTCTGAGCTGTATGGGGATATAAATACTACTCTGGCATTATATAGGGTTTAAATGACTGCAGAAAACTGTAAGACTACTAGAAAACTATAAACAGTAATTTGCTTGAGAATCAGTTGTTGTATGATATTATTGGATTACCTGTTAAGTTCCTGAATTTAAAGAATTTCAGAGATATTGCAAGGTAGGATTTGTTTCTTGGAGCCTCAGAGCCTCTTATATGCCCAGCCTCTGTTGAACTTCAAAGCAGAATCAAATACAGAAGGCTAAGAGTTTGAGCTTTTGGTCATCGTGAATAATAAAGTGGTTTTCACAAAAAAAAAAAAAAAACAACCAAAACAAAACAAAAAACCCCCAACCTATGATTCAGCAGAGGTTAGCACTAAATAAATCAAATTAATATTTTATGTTTTCCACCCTAATCATTCATGTCCCAGGTTTGACTGGTTCAATGATCCATGTTCAGAATTAAGAGTGTAGTGACTTACTTTCATAATGGCGTAATGACAAAAAGGCTACAGAACTGTCAGTGGAGGAAGGCTTAAGTTGGTGAGGATGGCATAAAGAAACCAGAGCATGGTCCCATGGAGAGGAACAAAATTCAGGGGTCTGTTACCACAGAGGCACCTGTTGAGAGGAGCACAGATCAAAAACCACAGTTATGCAACAAAGTGTTGGAGTTCAGCATTCAGAATTCTCTCTTTAGTCAGCAAATCCATACTGTGCTTTCTATAAGCATTGAAGCACAGCAGGAGTTCATTGTACGCCTGGTTGGTGCATTCTAGCTGTCCTTGGAGCTCTTGAACCTTCAGATCTTTGTCTACTGCTGCTGCCTCTCTCTTGATGCACCTTCCTGCTCTATTCATGGCTTCCTTCCTGGTCTCTAGCTTCTCCTCCAGCTTCTGAATCTCCCGCTCCTTATCTTGCAGAGCTTTGCTCTTTTCCATGGCCAGGTTCAGTAGCTGCTCTGTCTTTTCGTCTTCTCTGTCTTCCAGCTTGGCCTGCAGCTCACTGCCCTGAGCCCTCTGCTGACTCTCTGCCTGCCCGGCCCTTGCAACAGCTTGTGGTGCCTCTCCTGTAGGAGTGGCAGCTGCTTCAGTGCAGCCACCTCCTGGGCACAAGGCATCTGCTTGTTGGCTCTAAGCTTCCAGCAGCTCCTTCTCTCGTTCCTGGGCCCTGTGACTCTCATAAGCATATTTCTCCTGCAAGGAGCAGAACTGCTGTGAGAGCTTTCTGGCCTGGGTTGCCAGTCAGCTTCCTTTTCCTCAGAGCCTGGCTGAAGAGTGCTTCCCTGTCCTGCCACAGGCGCTTGCTCTCCTCCCACAGCTGCATGTGCTGGTTTTTGTGTTCATTTTTGAACTTGATCATATTTTCATGGTTTTTGACCAGATATATATCCTCCAAATACTGAATACACTGGGTCTGGGTTTTAATTTTCACAGCATCCTCTCCCCTCAGTTTCTCCAGCTCTATGTTGAGCTGCTCCAGGTCTCTGCAGTGTTTGTGTGTGTCATCAACTTTCTTCTTCAGTATAGAGACAAGATGATGATGGTGTTCTAGGTGTGAAAGCAGCAGCACCTCCTCACTCTGCTCCTTAGAGTCTCACAGAGTTCCTCCAAGCTTTTTGTCAGATCTTCCACTTCTTTGCCTGTCTCTGGCTCACCTGTGAAGTCAGCCATTCCTGGTCCTGTCTCATAAGCCATGGACCACCTGTCTCATGCAAAGACAAGATAAAATTTTATAGTGGCTGCTTCTGTTAATGACACTCAGCATAATTAAACCATGCCCAGTGGCTGTGTGGCCAACTCTGCTGCTGTAAGCTGGTGGTGTTTCTCTGGAAGTCACGAGGAACTGATGTGGGAGAACAGGACCTCCCAAAACCAATGTCAGCTGGCAAACACACAGGCCTGCTGCCCTCCCCCTTCTTCTGGTTCAGAGTCAGGCCCACTGAGACTCAAGGATGCCAGACTCTGTGAGAAAAGTCAAAGAGTGTGGGCTTAGTATTTATGCAAGCCTATTCATTTGCTGATGACTGGCCTTGCTAATTATTCCTTCTCAAGGCACTGCTGTTGTAGCTACAAGAACTACTATTATATTTAGGTAAAAAGCTTGTAAGTGATAAAGCTGTAAATAATTCCTTACGCAATCCTTTTCCTCTGCCCTTATTTCTCCTGCAGCTCTATATTGTAACTGCAAATAAAACACAGAGGGTTACGTCAAACTTTTAATTGATGTACAAGATTTCTATGATAGTGCATTGCTTGTTAAAAATAACTGAATAGCCTTATCCTGTGCTTAGAGATTTATGAATTAAGTACAAGATCTATTCAATGTTAATAATTAGTGAATGCTCTGTGATACAAACCCTCTGTGCCTGGAGAAACAGTTCCTCAACTGAGTTTTCACACTGATCTGCTGGATTAATTTAGACATGTAATTTTAAAAATCTGGTTCTTCATGTAAAAATAAGGAAAATATTTATATTACATATGCACCAAATTGATTATTGGTGCTGAATCATAGAGCATGCTACCCAGACACTTGAAATATTAGGCTACAACTCATCTACAAGTTTTTCATTTGGATGCAGACCTGAGACAGGACATGGATAACCAGTTTTTTTTGTGAATTCCTGAGCTTTGACTAGAGGTAAAGATAGGATGTGGGAAGGAGCCAGCTTAAAGTAAGGATGAAAGATAATGTACAACAAAAATTAATAAACACCTGTGAAGCACAAAGAATTTCAGAGCTGTGTAGTAGTGACTGCAGTACAGACACTAGCTCTGCCTCTATCATCCTGCACTCTGGCACTGCTGTTGCTATCTTGGATCATTTGCAAATAATGGAGAAGAGGGGGAAGGACTGAAAGGTTTAGGCCATATAGTGGAAATACAACAAAGAGCAGGGTTTAAAAAGAGAAAACTATTTTCTCACCAGGTATTTTCTTCCTGCTGTCTGTTTGTTGCTTCTCCTATTGTGAGACTCTGTTTCCATAGAGGTAAGACGCTGAATCCAGTCACTCCAGAGCTCATGACCTCATCCAGGCTGCTTGGAGCCAGGCCAGCCCCACCAGGGTGGCTGAAAGAGCTGGCAGTGTTCCTTAGCAAACAAGCATTGCTGACACTCTCAAAAGCACCCAGATTAGGAAAAGGAAAGAGAATTTCCACAAGCTTGAAGAACTCCTTGTTCTCAGCTTACATCCTGCACATGCCAAAATCAGAATAGCAGGCTCTGACCTCAGAACACACTGAAGGTCCATGGAAAGCAAAGATAGACCTGGCCCTGAACAACTCACAGCTTTATTTAGCAGCTAATAAAAATCTAGCAGACAGGATAGGGAAGGGAAAAATAAATGCAACTGGAAGAAAAAGTCAGTGCAGGTTTTGCTGAATCCTCTGGAAAGGGGATACAAAGGAGAAAGAAGAGAGTGCTGTGGGTAACAGACATGAAGCACACAGGAGAAGGAGGGCACAGGATGTGTTTCAAAACGGGTGAAACCAAAGCAATGGGAGTTGCTGCACCAGCTCAGGTTTGCACCCTTACTTGCAGCGATGGGAGGTTTCTGAACACAGAGCACAAAAGGAGAGTTGGGACTTTGAAGCCTGGTTTATAGCAAATTAAAACAGTGTAATATAGACGATATACATATGTGTATATATGCATATACACACATATGTGCTAAAATAAAAAAAAATAATGGGCTAAAAGAAAGATGAACTTGTAACATGAAGGAGAAGAGAGGAGGGCACTTTTGTGTTTCTCCAGACAAGAATGAATATACATAAAGATATTTTAGGAGTGCAGCTGCTTTGATTCTTAATTCCAGCTCACCTTTGTGACAAAACTGCCCTTTAATGCGTAGCTAATTATGGACTTCTAAAATTTTGGCTATGGATTACTAAAGGTTTTCCCTTTGCCTTGAGACCAAAGTAAGTAGTTTCTTTAAACTTTTTGCCTTAATCAACTTCCCAATTCACATTTCTCTATCAACATATTATCATACTATTGAAGTTAGGGATTCTGTACACAATGAAAAGAAAGGTATTAAAAACTAGGGAGGAAGGTTTGTACTTAAGGGACAATTTTGGTTACTTGTCTCAGTTTCCTGGTTAACCTAGATGAGTACATAGTATCCCTGTGTCATTAGATAATCAAACTTGTTAATTACAAGCACAATGTGTAAGTGAATCTTGCATTCATGTTCAGGTAGCTTTTCAAAATTTGAGGTTTGGTCTATTAGTGAAGTGATACGCAGAGTCTTTTGAGATACCAGAAAAAATCTGTGTCAGTCTCTAGGAGGGCTAAAAGAATAGCAAGACACAGAATGTCTTCTACTTGATCAGAAGACAAAGAGGTTGTCACTGTCACAAAATAAACATTTTATTTTGATAGTGGTGAAGTTTAACAATAAAAATTTTGTATAGAAGACAGCAGATTACATGACACTTGTGGCCTACTATTGAGAAGCCCCTCAATAGTGACTTCTGATTTTGAGTTAGTTGCTGGCTTTAAGGGTTCTGCAAATTTGGAGGCAAGACCCAGGCAAGTCCTGCAAATGTGGAGCCTTAAGACCCCATCTCTACAATAGAACCTAAAACTGATTTGACTTAATAATGTATTTGATCTTCACAGGAGATAAACTGCAACAGAAGCATTAATTCTGTGAAACTGGTCATGTTCACAGCAACCTATATTTTCAGACGAAAAATTTATTCATATAGGGAGCGAATACAAATAAATTAAGTGATTCTTCTTTTTCAGCATCACCATCCTTTCTGGAGTGACTCTTCAAAAATGTAGAATCAAAGCAGCACCTGTACCATTTTAGTAAAAAGAAATTGTTCTGAAGTGTCATGTGCACGTGTTCCCTAGTCAAAAAGTGTTTTGTATATGTCTGGCAAAGTGGAAGTTGTAGTAGTTACCAATCTCATACAAACCACCTGAAGCCGGAAGACATCAAAGACTGGCAAACTACTTTTGACATTTTTAAACTCCACAGACTGTCTGGCTGATGAGAAAGAAAGTGGGTTCCCTGGGAGACTGAAGAGCATCTTTCCTTTTTTTCCATTCATAGTGTATAATAAATACCAAGTAGCATTTAAATTTCTATTATTAAATCAAGCAATTGCATTAGCACTGTGAAGAGCTCCCTTCTCCCCTCTTCTCTAACTGAAGTGAAAGATTTCACCAGCTTTTAGACCTAGCTGGAGTAAATAACTGTACATTTATTTTCAAAAATGTTTTCTGTCTGCATTTTGTTATATTGCATGCTGAATGGCTAACATAAAACACTAGCATTTAACAAAAACTGAATTCTAATTTAGTTTAAATAGGCTGCATTTATTACAAAAAGAAAACAAAAGGAATTTATTTTGTATTTCATGTATTTCTCTGCTAGTAGCATGCATTTCTACAAGTTAAAAACTCCAGTCTTATTTCCTATGCCTCAAAACCAAGCAAAGCCCACCACAGTCCTTGCAGTGTCCTAACGGTGGCGCTGAAGCACAGGTAAGTTCACTTTTTGCAAAAAAAACCCCAGGCTAATGGATACAGGTACAAACAAGTACACTTTGGAGAACAAATACACAACATCCTTGTCATCACTAAAATTGGCACATTTAGATCCTTTTGAGTAGCACTGGAATAAAAAAAAGTTTCACCTTCTCATCTTCAGAACTTAAGACTAAGTATTGTACACTAGCAAGATGATCAACACATATATTAAGCAAAACTTTTATAACCCTGATTTTTTACAGTACATTGGAACTAAGTCCTCCGCACCTTGTAGAATAGGACATCAACAGTACCACTCCATGCCACTCTTCTTTCACTGGGGAAGTAGCTTTCATGTCCTAGAAATGTACAATTACAACTAGAGGAACTTTCAAAAAACGAAATTCTTCATGCCCATATTCCATGCTGGTGAGATCTAACATGGCATAATGAGGATACAAAGAGATACCAATGAGCTTTAACACTAATGTTGCTGTCTTATCAGTAAGACTTCATGAACAATCCAAGCAATGTACAGAAACAGCTGACTTGCTCTTATATTTCTGCTGGTTATTTGGATCATTTAAGGGATCATCAATGCTTCAGTTAGACAAAACATTCATCCTGATATCACAGCTACCTCTAACACTGAGTTCTGTAAACACCTTCTTTCTTAAAGTGGTTTTCAGTGAATAAGAAATTTTTAAATCCCTACAATTTACATAATGATCTGCAAGCAGATGTTTGACATACAAAGTGACATCTGACAGCACAAAACCAGAACAGTAACAGAGCAGAAACTGTCAAAAAAGCTACTACTGTGTTCCTCTTCCAAATTCCATCCCCATGCTTTCAATTTAATTCCCAAGGTTTCATTTTGACACTAACAAATAAAAATCCACCTTATTTTGTCAATTTTGCAACCATAAGCATCCTGAGAGGTAGTGTATCTTCTATCCAGGTGTTTGGAGAGTTCATCATCTTCTGCCAAAGGGCAGTTTCATCTGAAGTAGAATCCATCCAATCTACTGTAGTTCCATAGCTTTTGCCTAGAAAAATGTCAGTTTTAAGAGAAAAATTACTTAATCTGCTGCAGAATTAAGCACAATCAAATTTTCCTGCTCTAAAATGGTTACACCGCCTCAGGTAGCTGACCTAGTGCTTTGGAGATCCAGTTCTACATTTTTACTCTTGAGCAATTATGTCAAATACAATTAACAACAGTTTCACACAAATTTTGTCATCTTTGTCCAGATTTTTTGCTTTTGCTTTTTATCCTTGGTCTTTTTGTCACAATCCCAAGGAAAAAGATGCCAATTGCCCATACACCTGAGAAGATTTAACAATAAAACAGGGTACTGATTTTGTACTGAAATGCAACCTTGGGTACTCTAAAATTCAAATTAAGATTTATTATTCTAATTTGTAATTTAGGTTATTCTGATGATCCATGCAAGAAATTAATTTGTGAAAAGTAGCTTGTACATTGCATTTCTTGAGAAGACTCCAAACACATCCTCCCCTCAGATCAGACAGCAGAATGAAAGGGACAAATAGAAGAATTCTATGCATTTCCTGTTGCTATATCTGCACATCTTATGTTGCCCTTATGCTAAAAACTTGTTTGCATTTATAATTTTCCCAATTCAGTATCTTCCAATCTTATCCTGCATTCCTGATCTATCCTTTTATTTCCACCCACTGCTGTTTTTACACTATTTTTTGCATGAGTAAATTTGCAAGACATTATCAGCTTTCAGGTGCAGGAATACCATCATCTTGTACTTTAAACAGTACCAGATACAATATATGGACAGACAAAGGTTTGTTTCTAATATTTCTCCTTGTCAATCCTCCTAAACCTCCTAACACGACTATTATTTACTTTTCAGGATCATTTCTGAAGAATAGGTATGTTACTGAATGAAACTGTTCAAGAGAAAAGAAAGACTGAAAGAGAAGAGAAGAAATGGAAAAGGGAAAAAAAAAAAAGTAAAGACTACTTTGTAAATTAAGTATTAATGTGGTGATTGTCCAGTACCTGTTCCAAGGCCTATCCGGAGGCCTCCCAGAAAGTGGTTTGCTAGTTTGTTGTGATCCCAGACTGTGAGCTCTATGCAGGCTTCTTTTAAATCTTCTGGTCTAAAGCCATCATAGACCATGGTGTGGTTGAATACTGGGTTTGTAGTTTTTGCAACCGTCCTTGTTTTCTGGCGACTTTTTCTGCTGGTGTCTGGAAGAATGGTACTTCAGAGAGAAAAAGCACTGTCAGTTTGCACTTGGACAGAACAGCCTGCATTAAACGTACTGAAAAGGGAAAAACTTCTGATTAACTTGTTTTTGTCTGATTAACATGTTTTGCACGTTAAAATAGGACTGAAGATACAGTGTATTACAGAGATGAAGTGTCATATTCTCAGCCCCTTACAGGAAATACTGGCAGCAGGCATCCACCCTTGCACTTCAGAGAATGGAAGGACAAGTCAGGTGGGGAAGAGGCACAAGTGAGTTTATTTGCTGTGTTATCACTGATGACACTGAAACATTTTCCTGCTGCCAGAGATTTCCCCAACCATCTTGTTATTCTTGTCTCTTCACATTTTTAGTCTGTATGTGGAAAGGAAGGGGGAAGAAATCCAACTATGTATTGACAGTATTACACTATTTCATGCTTCTGTCTCCTCCCAAAATTTGCTAAGCTAAACCATGTTTTGCACAAACACGCTTTGCTTAAATGTGAATAAAAGCCAGAACAGTTTGTCTAGTCCTTTCACCAAGTGACTGAGAGACAAAACCAAAGTGTAATAATGACACAGAAAGCTCTCCCAGTAAGTTTTACGTGGTGGTACATACTGTAAACTATGCATGACAATTTGCACTACAATAAAGACGAATCAGAAAGCAATTTAGTGTTCTTTTAATATGAATGTAGAAAAAGAAGATACAATTAGAAAGCACAATGATAGCATTATTTGGCAGCCACGTTTGATGACTTCAACCACAATTCTTACCATTTAATAAAAGAGTTGAGCCTATTGCCTCTCAGAAGAGGGAGGTTATGGCATTCCTTCACCCAGATGTGGACTTCACCAGTAGAGAGAGTCTTCTTTCCTGTAAAAATAAAACAAAACATCTGCTTAAGCAGATGCCTTTTAAAGGTATTTTGTCTGATGCAGCAGTTCTTGCCCATTTGCAGAGGTGATATTCAGCCTGGACTTGTTATCTCACATCTTAATTCAACATTGCACTCTGTACTCTGAAAGTTGAAATCTTCATCCCATCAAAGTACTGCAAGATCACATCATGTCTGCATTCCTACAATGACTTTTCTTCTGTTACAACTAAGCAAACACATGCCACTGGTCTTCTCTTCCCAAGACTCCTAGATAAACAGATCAGCTTGTCATCAGTCTATGTGATGTTAGCGTTTATTTTTGCTCGTACTTGCAAATAAGCTCTTTTATGCTCTTAATTTGGTTTTGGTATTTGGTTCTTATTGACTGACTGTCTGTCTGGATTAAAGACTTGACCTGGCTTCACTCTCAGATCGCGCCACTATCTGTTGCCAGACAAGATTAAACCAAACTGATCAGACTGCTATAAATTTCTGTTTCTAAATACTTGCTGCTATTTCCAACACCTAGTATTGCTTGAAATTCAGTGTATTGTCATTGCTTAGCACATCACAGCATCTGCCTAATGATTCATAAGCTCTAAAATTGAGAAAACAGAATTTTGTTACATGTACATATTGCATTACAAATCTTAGATTATGACAATCATGTAATTTCTTCATCAGTAACATTAAAAACAACAAAAGATCTCAAAATAGTCTTTGGGGTTCTTAACTGTATTCACAATCAGAGTGACTTAATCCTCTAGGAAGAAAACAGAAAACTTTTATGTTGAAAGAAACTGTCTGAAGTGAATGACAAACATTAAAAGAGGGGTTTTTTTTAAAATAAAAAAAGAGACAAAACCACCAAAGGCTTAATGAATCTAGGCCAAGCAGCAATGCTTACCTCCAATTGGATGTGGGACATACTGGAGGGCTAGTTTCATCTCCCCTCTGTTTTCTAGATTAAGAGTTACTGCTGAAGTCTGAAATGATTAAACCAAACATCTGATATTAAAATGGTGCTGCACTTGCTCCATACTCTCAGAAGGTTTACTCTGTATTTGTTTAACAAGTGCCCGCAGATTTCTGTTGCAGCAATATGACAATACTTTGAAATTCCTATTCTTTTGACTGTGAGAAAAATTCTCCTACTGTAATAGCTAGCTAGACTACAAGACATCTCAAAACTGTATTTCTTTTACCAGTGTATAAGCATATACACTGGTAAAACATAAATAAGTATTTATGTTTATAATCAGCACAAAATCCACAGAACACACAAAACCAAGCCAAAATAATGACTTGGTTTTGCACTTAGCAGAAAATGCAAAACAGCCAACCTACCCTTGGCTTGAGAGGAAACCAGTTGATCTGCTTACTGGATGGATCATTCCACTCCCAAGCTCCTAAATCCAACTCCACTTCACCAAGGAAGCTATTCCTACCAAAGGTATCATTGTGCCACACAGAGATATTGAGGCTTTGATTCTTTAGGAGCTCCTTCTCAATTTTATACTGCCAGGAAGAAGTAAAAAAAAAAATATTAAAACAAGCTGAATTTTTACCAATGCTGCGCCAGAAAGTGATATGGTTAGGAAAAAAGTGTCTGGGTTTATATATCCATAACTGCCCCTTTCGGCATTTCAGAAAGAAAAAAAAAAAAAAAATTCACAATAAAACCCAACTATATCATCTTAAGCTCATACATGGCTCATGTTTGTTTACAAGAAGTATAAAACCACCAGTGTTCTCAATGCTGGATCCAGAGACCACTGCAGAGTTAACCTATCAACAGAAGCAGATGGACAGCTCTGCAGAGCAATCCCTCTCATGCTAATGTCCATTTTGAGTGCAATGTGCCCAAAAGGGGAGGTTCTCACAAATCACACATACAGTATATTATATCTAGTAATAGTTTGATAAATACCCGCAGTATTTCATTATAGACTGGATTAAATGTTTTCTTTTTGATAGATGTCTTCCTTTTGCCCAGTCTGTATTTCTCTGGAAGAAGGTAGGTCTTTACATACCTAAAATTTAGACAGGGTGGTTAGAAGAGTTAAAAAAAACCATGAAAAACACAAAAAATCTTCTCCAGCTCCAACTTCATCTTCCAAAACACACAAGTATTTGCTTACAAAGTAAAAAAATCCACTTGAGTAGATATTAGTTTATTCAGCTTGTAAATTTAAGAATTAGAATAGCAGTGGTGATGTATAGCATCATCACTTTCTCATAATAACCTTCTCCAGGGGAAAATCTGTTGAAATGTCTCCTCAGCACATAATAATACAGAACATGTAAATGTAGCAGACCCAAATATTATATTTATAGGTGCTAATCGTACTGAAAACATATCAAAGTGGGATTTACCATCTGAAAAGTGGCATTTAAAAGATAATTTAATATTCTTAAAAGCTTTATTGTCCTATGTTAATATATATACACACCAATTTATAAGGGCAGTTCTATATTCAATCAGAGTAAAAGCAACCCAAAAAGCACATTATAGCCTCTTCATCTATTTCTTGGGTGGTTCACTCCAGCAGGTTGGACAGACTGGAAAACCCCAGCAGTTTTCATTTCCACATTAAAAGAAAAACTTCCATTAGAAAGGAAATACATTCTTTTTACTTACGGGTCTGAACGCTGTCGCTTAACATCTGCTACTGCCAGGTCTTTACACTGGCAAATGAAGATGTGGAGCTCGTTCAGCTGTTCCACATAATCAATGGCAAACTGAATGTTCCCCTTCACATCCACGTTGCCAAAGTCTGCACTGTAGATGCTCATTAGGCTGCCACTCACCTAGAGAGTACAAGAGGAGAAATATTTTCCAGACATTGCATTTCACCAGATACTTCAGGGTAGAAGTTGTGCTCAGGATTTAGATAGTAAAGGAACCAACTGCATCTCATTAGATGTAACAATAAAATGCAATGGACACTATTATACAACCTTCTCAGCAAGCAGATTAATGAAAGAAAGATATTTGGAAATCAAAGGTGTTTGGCCAGGATTCTTACAAAAAATTGAATGATTTTACTGCATTGAGATAGAAGAAATTAAATAATAGGATGCTGTAGTTATGAATATATTCTGTGCTCAGATCTTTGAAATATTACTTCTACATCTCCTCAGCTCATCTTCCCTGCAGCAAGCAGAGCCTAAGAGTTCAAGACAACAGACCTTATTAAAATACTAACAAAAGATTAATAGATAAAGTCTATATGGCTGAATTATGTACATAAATATGTAACTAATTAAAAAACTGAAAATTAAATACTAAATATGGAGAAGAAAGATGTGTGTGTATATATATTTTATCTCAACATCCTTCCCCAAAATTCTGTTTTTCTTACTCAAAGTCCACATAAACCAATGACTTTTGGTTAGCTAATTGACTCATCTACACACCTGATATACCAATAATATCTCCCATTTTGACTTCTCTTTCTCCTCTTTCTCCCTTTCTAAATGTTTGTTCTACATGAATTGTTCCTCATTTTCAGCTACAAATGTAGGCTCTAAGGGTAAAATCCATATCTTTGTTCAGAGCCCTGAACAAGCTTCAATATATTACTAGAAAAAGAAAATTGAAATATATTTATTTTTACTTTACTTGCTTCAGGCAATTCCAAGGAAGGAATTATGTTTATACAACAGAAGTGGAAAGAAGGAGACAGAGATGACAAGGGAAGAAAGATACAATGAATGAGAAAAGAGCCAAATCAGTATTGGAGAAATTAGCAAAAGCAAAGTGCCTTTAAAATAATGCTTTGGTTTACATACAGAGGATAAGGAGGCCATGCCAGAAGAGCTGCTAAGATTGGTTAGAGAGCTGGGACTCTTCTTAATTCTGCCAAAGGAATAACTGCTTTCTGATGCTGTATCTGTCTCTCTGTCATCACTCTACAAAAACATCACAGAAAGAAAGTCTGTGTACATTCTTTATAGTCACAAGGAAAATTAAAAAAAAAAAACAACAAACAGAATTTTAATGCAGGTTGAGACTCAGTAGAAGTCTGAATTTAAATTCCCTTGTAGTGCAACATGAATAATATTTCTAGAATTAGGTCATGCATTTAAAGTTGAAAGGGAGTTTTTCTGATGAACGGCCTACACTGATATTTTTAAGCAGCGATGCAACTAGATTCAGAGGTTTGCTTGTCTGTTTTAAATCTCAAGTAGCAATGAAAAATTACAAAGTTAAATTAATTGGGACAATTAAACTCAACTTCTCTGAGTCGCTGTCTCATGCATAACCTATGCAATTAATAATGCTCAGGTCTTTTACCAATCCTTTCTGCTATATAGTAAAAGCTGTCAGTTCTGTGCCTCTCTCAAGGGCAGCTGGCCAGAAGGTAACATTCAGAGAACAGCACTGGATACAGGGAATGGTTTTTGCCAAGTCTTTCTTGCAAGAGGGCAAGAAGGGCTTTACTTTTCCATGAGAGAATTGCAGCGTTTGTCTCCTTGGTCATTATCAGGTTATGTACTCACAACACCATTCTATCTCAATGCTGTATCTGCACTAAAAAACTGATCCCCTTCCCACATGTTCTTTCCAACACAAGCTGTTACAGACAACTTCATCTTCCTGTTGTATTCCACCTAAGTGTGGCTAATCAGTCTGCTTAAACAGACTCTTTGAAAAACAGAAAAATCCTAAGTCCTCCTCCAGGGGAAGGATATATGGTGATTAGAAAAGGGGGAATTGGCTTTCAACTAACTGATGATAGGTTTAGGTAAGATACTAGGAAGAAATTTTTTACTGTAACGGTGGTGAGGCACCGGCACATGTTGCCCAGAGATGTTGCGGCTGTCCCCATCCCTGGAAGTGTTCAAGGCCAGGTTGGGTGGGGCCCTGAGCAACCTGGTCTAGTGGAAGGTGTCCCTGCCCATGGCAGGGGGGTTGGAACTGGATGGTCTTTTAAGGTCCCTCCTAAACCAAACCACTCTGTGATTCTTCTGATAGAGAATCACAGATGTCATAAGGCCCAACAGTTCAAATTGCTTATCAGTTTCAAACTTCAATGTCATTTTAGGAGATTTGATTATGGTTGCAGAGCTTACTCCAAGGTTCACACCATAATGATGGTAACAACAATAATCAAGCATGGCTTGTTGTTGGAGTTGTGAAATTTTACTTGCACAGAGTTAACGATCAGGTACCTGAAACTATAACATTTCAGAGATGGAGCTTACCTCTTCCTGTAAGAATGATGGTACTGACTTGCTCAGTCCTTTGAGTTTCTCAGGGTTGGAAAACGGTTTATCAGGCTGTGAAGTCACTGTGGAAACTGAAAAGCAGTAATTCAAAAGGCTTCAAAAACATGTTTGTACATCTGAACAGTGAGATTCCATAACAGGACACAGGTAGAAGCAAACCACTTTGGATGAAATACACATGCACAACCAGCTTGGATGCAAGGCTTTGTATTTTTTCCCCATAGGACTCAGAGAAGCTACAGTTAGAAAGAATAATCTACTTTGGCATTTTCTGCCACAGTGACCAACAAACTTTGACAGGACAAGAAATGTTGCTTGATATGAGGTAGCCTGGGTGCTACAAGCAAATTCTGATCAAAAGTGATGAAGAAAACATTGCAGATAACCTTCTAGATTTTCTTCGTAGAACAAGAATAAGCACACTTGTCCACTAATAATATCATCACTGACATTAGAACTATCATAATATTCTTAAGAAGAGTATTCTTATTCATTAGAAGACAAATTTTGTTCTATTTACTCAGTCTATTTAACTGCAATAGGCAAATTTGTATAAATCGAGCAAATTCTAGACCTGACCAAGGAAGTTGCCAGTATTCCTACTTAATTATATGATGCATATCTTATTAATGATGCACTTTTCTGCACTCTGTCTCTTCCATACTTGCATACCTCTACTGCAGCTCACGTTTGTGCTCTTTCACTGTACAAAACCTAATTGCACAAGCTAGGCTTGCAAAAATCCAGTTTGCAGTAACCTCATGATCCTCAGAATTTTTTATGCTCTAGCCCCACTTACATTTAATAATACACAAAGATGAACTGGATATACGTTGTGAGATGCATCAATATCATGTGACAGAAAACGATTTGGCAACAGCCACCTACAGGAGCACATATTGACTGCATAAAATGAAACACTGCACACAGTGGGATCGTTTGCAAGGTGAGTGAAACTTTTGCAAAGCTTTTGATGTCAAAACTCAACCAGTGCTCAACAGATCAGTTATTGTCAGTATGCAATTAGATGCAGTACTTAGAGAGAGTATCTAGCCCAGATGTGTAACTTGTTAAATGAAAAAGTATTGTTAATGTATTAGTTCAGCTGTCAGAGGAAGTCTCTCCAGTATCTGCTGAAAGAATCCTAATACTCACTTTCTGCTGCATTTTCAGTCCTCTCTTGATGCTGATCAGGTTTCACACCTGCTCAGTGCAGTATTAACAGTCATTCAGCAGCACATCTTTGCAACATTATAAATAGCATCAATATACTTTATACGTGGAATTTTTCTGGTTTTGTGATTGTTTTGGGTTTTTCTACTTCCCCAGACCACATTAACATTGTGGGGGTTTTTTCTTCCAATATTTAGTAGCTATTTAGGTATTAGGCCTGTATGGGCATCAGGTCTGATTTTGGTGCATCATGGAGCCTTTCTGTTTATGCAAACATAAATTCAGAACTAGGAATGTGGCTCAGTGGTGAATTTTCCCATGTTGGGTTAATGGTTGTATTTGATGATCCTAAAGGTTTTCTCCAACCTAAACAATTCTGTAACTCTGTTTCTGTGTTTTGCATTGCTGTTCTCCTTTGAGGAGCTGGATCATGACAAAATATGAGTGTAATATAAGTGTGTACACTTATAAGTGTACACTTATAAACTTGTAAGCTTAAAAAAAAAAAAATTCAGTCTTTTTGCTGTTCCAAAAGAACAGTCCTTTCCTGAAAACCTGCCCGTACAGCCATCAATTTGGCTCTGTGTCATTTTTTCATAACTTCAGTCTTAACAAATAAAACTCAAATTCCCCCTGCTCTTTTCAGGTTAGTCTCTACACATTCACACTGAATGCCAAACAGGCTTTCAGTAGGGGTTTCCACTTGAAAGCAGAGTGCAGGATGGTGCTTAAGTCCTGTTACTTTATTGGGTGTTGTAGATATTCTAATATGCTTTGATAATCTTATTGCTACTATGGGCCACAATGCTTTAAGCATCTAAACCATGAAATAAAAAGTACAACTGCACACAACAGTCCTTCTAAAACTGTAGTGCTCCAATACAGTAAATAAAGAATTATGTGCTATATTTCACTATATTCAATATTATTTGATGGTTTTCAATTCTGTTTATTTTGACACGTTCTTGGAGCAGGTTTGCTTTTTATTTTTCTTAGATTTGGAATTTCTAAAGGTATCTAGAAAAATTTAACTTTAAGGCATCTGTAATGCACTAATGGACTGATGATATCAGCAGTAGCTGATGTGGAAGTTCATCTATTGCTTAGAGTAATGCTACTTGATAGGACTAAGGCAGAGATATTAAGAGAGGTTCCTTTCCAGCTGAGGTATTCTGAAGGGTGTCTTGCATCTTGGATTTTAGAATGTAACAGATAAACAGACAAATTTAATATTTACTGAGGCAAATTTCTTTCAACTGAACTAGTGTTCAAAGCTCTCTATGATTTCAGTAACTCATAGGCTGAACTGAATGACTGAAGACCAAAAGAATACATTGATAAGTGGGACAGTTTCTACAGATACAGGAGGACATAAATAGATTCCTTAAAAATAAACACCACAACAGAATTCTACAAAAGCTTTCCAGCCATGCTGAGGTTAACCAACGCTAAAAACACATTCTTGGTTAAAAAAAAAAAAAACCTTCACTAGCAAACAGAGGCCATTAAAAAAGCAACAAACTTCCATGCAGACACAAATTATATTTACCATCTTCAGCACTAAGAACTAATTCTTCCTTTGGTTTATTTATTTTTTCTTTATCTGTTCAGGAAAAATAACACAGTTAGAAACTTTGTTATTCAGTATAAAATGGATGGAAGTGATAATCACAAAATTAAGAGTAATGAGGACCAAAACCACAGACAAACCATCAGAGCCATGAGAAGGGTTAAATTCAAGAGGCTTTTACTTGACATTCAACCTCAAAGCCTGCATCCAAGCAGGGGTCTCATGGTGACATAGTTTCTATCAGCATGTTGTTGCAACAATGTTAGTGCACACCTAAAACCTAGAAACTAGTTAGAAGCAAGCAGTAGCATAAGTAGTATTAGAACAACTTGCCAAAATCTTTCAAAAATCTACATCTCCATGCTTCAGTTCACAAATGTAAGTTCAGTCTGTGTCTTCCCCATTAGACTTGATATAAGCATGAAAACACTCAGGAGCAGGGTCAAGTGAGACAGAAATAATAATTAAAAAAAAAAAAAAGAACAAGGAAGTCAAGGAGGTTATTGAGGGAAGGTGGGAATTCATTTTAAGTATAATATTACCTTCACTGTAGTCTCTTAAAATGAGCTTGATATATTTACTGCTAGAATACACAGGTGAACCATTACTAAACTGAGTTTTTCATGCTTTCATTGTCTACTTAACCCAAGCCAGCAACCAGGAGGCAATGACAGTAGCTGCTCCTTACTGGTTTGGGTAATTGCCAATACTTTCACAATTTAAAAACTATCCAGGAAACAGTTAATCACTGATCAACACAGTGCACTCCTGGAAGATGTCTGCTTCACAGACCAGTTTTGTTCCAAAATTAATACCAAGAACTGAAAATTAAACCATATGAGAAAATAATCTGGTTCCAAAGTACAACCTCCATACAGCTTATTAAGAAACAAAAAAAAAAAAGCCACGACTTGGCAGGGCTATATGGCAGACCAGCATGAACACATTTAAGCCAAACTGGGGTCATGGGAGACACACACAAGCTTTGTGCTCACTTGAGGTGGTTGATGGAATGTCCTCTAGACTTTTGGAAGGCTTTTTCCTATCTGCACTCCTTTTCAAAGCCATCAAAACAGGGTTTAATTCTTCTTCAGAACCTGTTACGAGACAAAACACATGAACACTGCACACACAGGCAGGCCACTTTAACCAAGTCAATGAAGAACCAACCACAGGTTTCTCATGAGAATCTATTTTGACAGTTAGCAAAGACAGTGAACATTGAATGAAAATACAAGATAAATCCAAAATAAAATAAACATCTAATTTTAAGTGTCCATTTGTTCTCTTTAAACACCCCCAGTCATCAGCGGAGACAGACAAGTCTGACAAGTGATTTGACAGACAAGTGATTTGCCCGGTGTAGGTGTAGGTCTATCTTTACTGACTAATAAAAGCATTTGGGGCAATTATTTCACTCCATTGGTTATAGGACATAGGATATCCATGAATATAGGATAAACTCAGATTGTAGCCATTTTGTAACCATCTTCTCAATAATCAGCACAAAAGAAAATTTTAGTTTTTTCCCTTTGTGCAAATTTTTCTGTTATATTCTTTCCAAAGTGAACATAATTTTGTTTCAATGCTTGAATAACCAAAAAACCCCAACAAAAACAAAACCAAAGAAAACCCACTGACCAAAACCACAAAAAATTGAACACCAATTCCGCACACAAACTCAAAAAATACCCCAATAAACAAACAAAGCCCACAAAAAAACAAGCTGTGGATGTATTTGGAATCCTGAAGTTATGCAATTGTCTCCAAAAGTAGAATCAAGATAGACCTAGGTCCTTCATAAATCTTTCAGACTTTCCTTCCTCCCTATCTCACTTTCCTCCCCCTCCACCAACCAATCACAGTGTTGCTGCCTGTAATTATGGGTGAAACAAAATTACATTTGATTTTTCCTCACTTTTTTCTCACTTATCTTGAATTTTCACTGACTCTCTTTGGAAACCCACTTTCCAAACAGGCTCAGATGTAAGTTGGCAGGCCCTGAGAACTTCATATATTTCTCAGATTCTCCAGGAGAAGAAAATATTCCTAGTTTTTCAGTATGAGACTAAAAAGGTTAAATTATCTCCTCTGCCTTAAGGTCTCTGATGACTATCATACACTATACATTGATTAGAACTGCCATTCAACCAAATAATGTGAATCCTAGTTAAGGGACCTCTTCATTGATATGGCCATTTTTTAGTGCAAAAGGCAGCAATGCTAAATGAAATAGCATAGATTATTGATACTATCCTTATATCCAGCTATTCCACTGATAAGCATTTATCTTCAGAGATTAGCCAGTCAAACTAAAGAATGAACCCAGTCAGCCACTGATATTTTTTTCCTCTTTTAATACAGTATATTTGAAGAGATTACTAGATTGAGTGTTACCAATTTATTAATTTGAAGGCAATGTCACATGGGATAAGAAAAGTATAAATCACAGACTAAATTGATTCATGCTGCTAAACTATCCTTACCAAAGAAGGCTTATCTAAATGTCTGTTAAACATTTTCCAATCAAACAACTTAATTAGCTCTTCCCACCCCTCCCAAGCAAATATCCAAATTTCTCAATTAAGAAAATATAACACAGACTTTTCATTAACATATTTCAAGCTGGATTAAAAAAAAAAAAAAAAAATTGTAGCCATGTTTAACTCGGCAACATGAATTTTAGAAATCAGATAGCTCACAAGTTGAACTTCCTGTTCCAGAGTGGGAATCAGAGTTTTCATCTGAAAACTTGGATCCCAAATTTAAGTTGTTGCCTTCCTCTTCATTGTTATCCTCATGCTGAGACATTAGGCAGAACTGAGCTTCTTCTGGCTGGGGAGAGTTGCTCTCATCTTTAAGTGGCGTACTTGGTCTTCTGAAATTCACGAGTGCTTGAAATTCTGAATTCTGTTCAGAAGCCTCCAAGAATGTGCTTTCATCCATCCCTTTTGCATTTATCTCAAATGGTTTGACTGCAACCATATTTGTCTTGCCTTCCAAGGGATGAAGATCAACTGGAACCATGTTTCTCTCTCCTATTTTATTAATAGCTCCATCTCTTTTAAGACCAGAAGCTTCAATTTCACTTACTGCAAGATCATTAACTGAGGCTTTAACATATTTTTCTGGAGGTCCCTCTTTGAGAACTATCTTCATTTGTGTATCATAGCTACTTAGGGTGTTGTATGGCTGTGACCTTGTCATGAATAGAGTCTTTTTTTCTGGGGGAAATGTACAATCCTCAAATTCTTCTTGCTCATATAAATCTTTGGAGATTGAGCATGAAACTGCAGATGCTTCTTGAAGAAGTTTTTCTAAAGAGCAACTGAATTCACCAAATTTTGTGATATTTGAAACAGAAGTATTTTCTATTGTTTCTTGTATTTCTTGAGGGTGATCTTTGTCTTGTTGATGTGGAACATGTATATTTGCACTAGTCTGTATTTTATGATTAATTTTCTTATCTATATTTTCCAGCACAGAAGCTGGTGTTTCAGAGACCTCTTTGCGTGGATTCTGAAAATTAAAATCAGAACCTCTATATTCACTGTTGGACAGTGCAGGTCTTCCTGTGGTCTCACCAACTCCCTGCAGCAGCTCTCCATCATGCTCACAGGCTGTGCTCATAGATTTCATCTCAGCAGTCACCTGTACTGTGCTGTCAGCACATTTGGGCTTAGGAGAGGGTGTTTCAGAGGCTTCCTTCAGCAGCCTCTCTAAAGTAGAACTCAAGCAACTGGCCTTGGATGGGGCAACAGACTTTTCTATATTCTCACTGATTTCCTGAGGTACCTCTCCACCATACTTATGGGTCGTGCTTTTAGCTTCTACCTCCAGAAATCTCTGTACTGTGATGTCAGCACATTTTGGTTTAGGAGGGGGTGTTTCAGAGGCCTCCTTCAGCAGCTTCTCTAAAGCAGAACTCAAGCCATTCTCTGAAGGTGGGGCAACAGACTTTTCTATTAGCTCATGGATTTCCTGTGGCAGCTCCCCATCACACTCATAAGTTATGCTTCTAACTTGCACCTCAGCAGTCCTTCGTACTGTGCTGTCAGCATATTTGGATTTAGGAGAGGATGTTTCAGGGGCCTCCTTCAGCAGCCTCTCTAAAGCAGAACTCAAGCCATTGACCTTGGATGGGGCAACAGATCTTTCTATGGTCTCACTGATTTCCTGCAGCATCTCTTCACCATGCTTATAAGTCATGCCTTTATCTTGCACCTCAGCAGCTCTCTGTGCTGTGATGTCAGCACGTTTGAGTTTAGGGGGGGATGTTTCAGAGGCCTCCTTCAGCAGCCTCTCTAAAGCAGAACTCAAGCCACTGGCCTTGGATGGGGCAACAGATCTTTCTACAGTCTCATTGATTTCCTGTGGCACTTCTCCACCATGTTCATACATCGTCCTTTTAACTTGCTCCTCAGCAATCCCCCATGGTGTGCTGTCAGCATGTTTGGGTTTAGGAGGTGGTGTTTCAGAAGCCTCCTTCAGCAATTTCTCTAAGGCAGAACTCAAGCCATTCACCTTGGATCCAGCTACAGACTTCTCTATGGGCTCATGGACCTCCTCAGGCTGACCAGTAGCTTCTTGGTGTACTGATGGTACACTGCAGCTAGTTTGTGATATACTATTTGAGTTATCATACGTTTTCATCCCCACCCTTCTGTATTCAGAAGGTTGAGATACGAGGGTTGCTTTGAGAAGGTTCTCTAAACCAGCTTGAGGCCTCTGAGAGCCCTCAAGAGTGTCATCCTTGTCTGTTGCCTGATATTGTAGATACAAAGGTTCAAATTCCCTAAACAGTTCTCTGAGACTTTTTCTGTTCTCATGCTTATCTGTTGATGACACATTCACTTGTCCTGTACTTTTGCCTATTTCTTCTCCATGATCAACATGAGAAATATCATGACTGCATTCCCCTGTTCTCTCAAAGACTTTGCATTGATCTGACTGAAAATGTGTCCCTTTTAAAATGTTTTCTTTTAGGTTTAAGCTACATGACATCTCAAAGGCTTCCTCTTCTAGCTTCTTTAGACATGATTTAAATATATCAAGCTCACCTTTAGGCAGAACAACTTTATCCACAGTCTCTGCAACTTCCTCTTTATCCAAAGGAGTAGTCTTGTTTTCCCTTTTTTCTATAGGTAAATATAATTTATCACCTACTACAGTCTCCTTTAAAGTATCTTTATCACCAGGTGACTGGAGCTGCAAGGACACATGATGATCTTTTGATGAAACAATGTTTTTTTCTGTACATTCTCTAACCTCTTGCTCTGGAAGAGCCATCTTTTCCTGGGATTTTGAGATAACTGTTTGTCTGTCCAGCTGGAGACAGTCTGTATTTTTCGTATGTGTCACATTCAGACCTTTCAGGATAGGAGATCCTAGAGACTTTTTGCATACCTCAGAATCTAGTTTCTGTGGTTTTTCTCTCTCAGATGTTTGGAGTTGTTGTTGAATTAAACCTTGCTTGCCCACATTTTCTCTGCCTTTTTTATCTTCCTTTGATTTTCTTTCATAAGTTATTGATCTAGTATTATTTGGCAAAGAATCATCTTCCCTGTCAATGCTACTCTGTAATTTAACTCCAGTATCCCAGAAGTTTCTCAGACTCTGAAAGTGTGAAGGATCTAAAATTTGATTCTTGGACTTTTCATTCATCTTTTCTTTTAAAGACAAAACCTGGAAGCTGGGCTTCTCTTGGGAAGAAACAGCAACTTTCCCTTTAAGAGTTTCCTTCTCATCTTCGTCTTTGCTTTTTGAGGCAGCTGAAGTGACACCAGCTCTGGCTTTTGGGAGTTTATCAGATTGAAGTGTCCCTTCTGGCTTTCCAAATGCATGGCCTGGTCCTGATTCAAAGGAATGATAACTTTTGTTTCTTGAGGCCTGACTTGCACAACTTAGTTCAGGACTTCTTAATGGATTCTTGCTCTGATCATGCAATGCCTTAGGTAGATACACTGCAGATCGTTTTTGTTGGTCACTTTCTCCAAGACCTGTAAATGCACGGCCACCTGATGCATCAGCATTGATACTAACTTCTTTCTCTCCATGACTGGGGATAGTTTTATCCCTTTCCCAGAATGCTCTGATCTCCCTTATTCTTCTTTTTTCTTGTTTTGCCTTCTCAGATTCACATTTCTGAGCAGGTTGCTTGTGCCTTTGATGTTCTAAGAGATTTGATGTTTTATTTAGTTGTTTGATTTCTGGACCATGTTCTTCTTCTTCAATTCTTGTACAATCAAATTCCATTAGCAATTTATCATTTTGCTTCTCATTTGCTTCCCCTGTCTTAGGCTTCACCCTCTCCTTTATCAGCTGTATGTTTTCTGAAGTAAAGGATGTAGATGAAATTCTGCTCAGTTGTTTAATCTTTCCAAATAGTCTCTCTTCTGTATCTTCTGTTTTTCCATGCATGCCAGGCCCACTGTGCTCTGTAGGAAGAACTGCTGTTCTGATTGACACATCCACTTCTTCTCTGGGCTCCCTGCCTTGGGACTTTGTTGATACAACTTCCTCATCTTCAGTACTAGAACTTCTTTTAAACCAGTCTAAAACTTTTGACACAGATTCATCGTCCACTTTCATGAGTTCATCAGCATGCTTGCCAGGCTTGAAAATGGTTTTAGTATCTCTCTCCTCAACAAGATCAGGCTTACCTTGTTGAAGAGTTGTAGAATTGGTATTGAACACCTCACATGCTTCTGTTTCAGCAGAAAGTTGATGCCCATCTACAATATAAACAAACTTATCAGAGTTATGAATCAGACACATGACTAAAAATGTTTGGTCTACCTAGAAAATTCTCAATTTTTTTAAACTGTTAGTGGAGAAAAGAGTTCTCTGTCCTCATGATTTTGGAAAGAACCTTACTATGGGTAATAGAGTGAAGAAAATTCCTGCTCTGAGACATCCTACTGGAATTATTGCTTTTCAGGGTACAAGCCAAGATGATGAGTTAAACCCATTCTTGAAGGAAATGCCTTCACTGAAGGGAGGCTGTGTGTGACACACACACAGAGGATGACAATCAGCATATTTGTGTTTAGTCCCATAAGCAAATCCCTGAGTCACATCTGAATTACTCCCAAGGACAACTGACAGCACTACACTAAAATACCGTCCACAACAGAGGTGGCTATACTGGCTCTGATAAGATGACCAATAGGAGATCATAAAAGTATATAAAATATTGATTATTTAATTTTCCAGTAGCAATTCCTGCAGTAGCACATTCCTACTAGTTCTGTTTTCCAGCTGTTGATTCTTAGCTACAAGTGATCCACATTAATGAATGTGTTATATCCTGTCTCATTCCCTTCTTCCCTTCTATTAGACTCTTACCAGTAAAGTTTTTGCCTGACTCTGATTCATGGCTCAAGATTTGGCTGGATTTTTTTTCATGTGTCTCATCAGCACTCTGTTCATTATTGCTGTTTGACAGGATATTGCTGGAGGTCTTCTGTGGAGTTTCAAGTTTCTTGGGAGTAACTGTATTTGTCCGGAAGCTTTCGCTAACTGGGTAGACTGATCTGTTACTGTCACAAGGGCTGGATGCAGATATGTCTTCTTGTAGGCCATCTATTGTTTTCATTTTTAAAGTTGATGAATAGGTTCCCAAAGGATTTGCAGCAGGAATTTGCTTATCTCCAAATGAATCTGATTGAACAGCATAATTTCCACTATTCTTTTTTTTGTCAAGTCTTAAGGTATCATGCTCTCCTTTTTCTTTACCATGGTGTAGCTGTGGGCTTTGCAGAAGTTTTCCTTTACCTGAGCTAGATGAAAACCTCACTTGTTTCAGTTTTTCCAGTGAATTATGTGCAGAGTTTTCTGCTTCTTCCGTAAGAGAATTCTTCTCACCTTCTCCTTCAAAAATAGTTGCAGCAGCAAGACCATTCTTTTTCTGAACATCTAACATCTGACCAACCCGAACTTCTGAGTCAGTGGAACTTGAGCTTGAGCTGTGCTTCAGAATGCCCCTGGGTGGGGAACCAATGCCATTAATGCTCTCAGTCTGCTTGGCTGGTTTGGAAGCAAGGTCCTCTCTTTGCGATACAGAATCTGCTGCTTTGTGAATTAGCTTCCTAGCTTTTGGGACAGGACGTTTAACTGGTTCCTTCTGTGATTCATCAGTAAGTTCTACAGAAGGCTTCTCAGATGTATCTGTTTCATTATTTTGTAAGCTTGATTTAGGTGGGCTGTCTTCTGAGAGTGACCAAGTTTCTGTAAGACATACAAGAGCTCGTGAGTTTATGTGATATTTTCCAGTATAAACAGAAGGATAGTACTGCAGATCTAAAATGCAGTGGTTATACTGGTTTATTGAAAACAACTGCAGCAAAAACACAGTCAGTTATTTTACATAGGTGTTGATTTCATTTTTATGTACTAGAAATTTGTAGCAAATTAAAAGCTTGCAGTTATTTCTTATTTTAGGAATACTAACTATTTGATGATATCAAATAGAGCTCACCAAGTCTTTTTATCAGTATTATTCCTGCAAGGGACAAAGTTTGCAGGGAAGGGCAGCTTTTGAATACACATACACCTCTTCAGTGTCAGAATGTAAACAGCAACCTACAAAAATGGGAAGTGGCTATTTCCACAGTCATATGGAACAAGGCAAATGCAGAAATAATCTCCTGGCAGGGAGATGAAGGGTTTTCTATTCTTACTATGCAAATCTTTCCTTTTTCTGTTAGCATGCTTCACCACAGAGACAGGAGAGTAATATCCACATATGACTCTAACTTACACCTTCAAATGCCTTTATTGTGATATATAATCACTCATTAACTTTCTTGCAGGAAATACTGCTGGAAAGGGAGGATAATAAACAGGACTAAGGAAAAAAAGGAGAAAAGTACAGACCGAAGAGAGGTAGGCTGCTTCTGTCAAGCTAATTGGCAGCAACAATTGGAAGGTCATAAAGACAGCTATGCCAAATTCAAGGAAATTTCACTGTCCTCTTGTCAATTCAGGACAAGCAGCCCTCCCAGATGGAGTGCTTAGTGCTGACTAAAACTAAGCATAAAAGGAAGGAAGCAGAAGCCATTTACTCATGTCTATAGCCATTTCCTGAGTATATTCACATGCTTTAGATGAGGTTTTAAATAAGCTAGTTAAGAATTCCCAATAAAGACAAAATAGGTTTTGAGCTATTACAGAAAGAAGTAATGGAAGTAAAAACAGTTTCCATATAAACCTACAGGAAATTCACAGTCATCTGCTAAACAAGTACATTTACCCTTCTTTGACAGCTGAGGTACAATGACTGGTCCATCTTCTGATTCCACACTGTTCAAGTTATCATCTGATACAATGGAATTAAATGGATTTCTCCTTTGCTAAAAAAGGAACAAACATTACTGCTGCAGTCAAATTCTTACATCACAAAATAGATACAAGTGCAGTGATTGTGTTCTTGCTTTTCTCTTCCCCACCAACTATCAGTAGAGTCTGAAGGCATACCTCTTAAATTGGATACATGACAAAAAACCTAAATAATATGAATAGGAAATTATCAGATGTGTCAGTGATAACCTCATCTTGTTCTTCTGAACTCACCAACAACAGTGATAAGCCACCATTTAAAGACAGTTGAAAATTCCAAGTTCTTGCAAGTTAAATAATTTTACCTCTAATTCTGTGATATTAGAACAGAGCAGGCCAATTGCTTTCACTAGTTGAACAGACTGGAAATAATGTTAAGAAAAAACAGCCACCAATTATAGGTGTAGCAACACTTTAGTGCTGAACCTTTAGTGCCTTTCATTATGTCCCTCAAAAAAAAAAAAAAAAAAAAAACAAAAACCAAAAAAACCACTTTATTTTTTTACAAATTATTATCTTTCCTCCTCAGAGTTTTACCACTGAAGCAAATAACTTCCAACATATTCAGTACCAGTCATACCCTTACTGATGAGACTGCTGGCTTCACAGGTCTTTCCTCTGGCTTGTTTAACACAGGTGTTACTTCTTTAGAACTGTAAAGGAAAATTATATAACAACTTCAGCAAAAAGGACATTACTTTAAGCCTTTTTGATAAAGTAAAACAAAGATTCACTTATACATACTCAAATATAAACACTTGGACCTGAGTTTTTCTGTTTACCCTGTTCTCATTCCTATAGCAAAGGAGATACTCTTGCTGCTTTGTTTCCTTGTAAAAATGTATTTACATGTTAAAGAATGCAATACAATTTCTTCTCAGCATGAAGAACTGTATCATATTTTTGATACATTTTAGATGTCTGAGTAAGCTTTATAAAAATAAACATAAACATACATATAATATTTACAGTAAATACTGTATAAATACAGTAAATATCACTACTCTCTAAACAATATCAGTGTTGCTATCTCCATCCTTGTCCTACATTTGTACTTCTAGGACTGAAATGAAACTGGAGGAAAGTGTCAAAGGCTGATTAAAAATAGAATTTTGCAAAGTGTCAAAGTCAGAAAAAACAGAGAAACCCCATCACCACTAAAGATGTGACATCTCACAGATGATAGCACATTTCCTCAGAAGTACAGCTTATAAGATAGTCTTTCAATTGAGATGTATAAATTTTTTGATTGATAGCATAAGTGAAGCAAGTTATTACTTGTGATAATAAGTGTAGCCTACATAAGGAGAAATTAAAATAGCGAGAAGAGACAGCTCCTATATTATCTCCAGAAATATTTCATCTACTTGTAGAATGATGCAAGGTTTTTTTCCCAATCAGACTTTTACTATTTTCATTTACCTAAACATCTCAGATATGAAAAAGTATTTGGTTTTTGAAGATGGAAGTTAGACATGGATTTCAATACAGTCTTCACAAAACTATACTGAGTATCCTAATTTTATATGGAAAACACTGACATTAACCAAGATACACACTTATGATTTTGGGGTGGGGGAAGAGTATGAAGCCGAGAAGACTTATATATCCAGATAGGAAATAAATGTCAGGCTAGGAAGGAAAGCAACTCCTATGGTTTTTCCGATATAGATGTACAAAGATATTCCAAAACTGAGTATTTCTTTGCTCAATGATCTTCATTATGTGTGAAATGACTTAAGGGTGGTAAGTAGAAGAGCCATAAGGTGTCTCAGAGCAGAAACAAAATCCACCTCTCATCAAGTTCCAGATTCATCTCCTTGCATTGACAAGGATCTCTCCATTTTGGAAATTGGTACCAGTCTGTCCTCCTGAGGGGAGAACAACTTTCCCATCTTCTCCAAGGTTCACAGTTAAACTCAGACTTTAGAGGACATTAAAAAACCCCCCAAAACACCCTGATAAAATAACCTTAAAAGTCTATTTGCCTCTGTACTGCTAGGTGTGTCTGAGCAGTGACATCACTTATATTTTGCAGACGGAAAACATAATTATGGAGAAGATAAAATGACCATAGTGAGTAGTGTGAACATGAGGCTAGCAAAAAAATACCAGGTGCAATCTGAACTATAAACTTCTATATCCCTTCCTTGCTCTTTTGATTCAACATTGCCTTTAAGAAATATACTACCATGCATAGTGATAGGGGCTAAAGGTGTGAGCTGATCTCGTAGTGGAATCTATCTCAAGGGTGAAAAATTAACTGTTCTTACATTTTTGTAGGACAGTAACTTTGCAGCCTCTTATATACATGCACCAGATTACTAACAGATTACTATTGTTCCTTCTACTATTTGCTGATCCCAAGTAGGAAAAAATTCTGGTTCTCAAAGAGCTAAATGTTGCAACTTCTAGTTCTTCTCCAAAATATCCTTTCACATTATGGTTTTTAACCTTAGTTCTAATATCTTTTTAAGTGTGAAAATAGACATACATATTAATGAAACTACACAAAATGGAATTTGTGTTCTTGCTTTTACAAAGCATTCGTAGTTTTGTTTTTGAGAGCACTACACCTGTATGCTCCTGCATTTTGTGTCTTCTTTGCAACATCTACTACTGAACAGGACAATCATGATTTTTGTTTTTAAGGTCTAGGTCCCAAATACTTCAATTGCTCACTCATTTTAAGCAAGGAAAATGCTATTAAGCACCCTGAACTGCAAGAATTCTTCAGTGAAGTTTTTACAGGTGGAGAGATAACTCTGTGTGTGTGTTCAGTGAAACATAATCTCACAATCTTTAGTGCAATGCTTCTTTGGATTTACCATAGAATAATTAAAGATTAACAACTTGGCATTGCATGCTGAAAACCCTGTTCTAAATAAAAAGCAGAGAAAAAACAACAGCCAGGATCCTATAACTAAGTTTTACAACAATGGGTCTGAAAATGAATTTACCCACAACCCATACAGATAAGAAAACTGAACACACTGTTCCCAGATATGCTGCATTCAAAAGGCTAATCTAAAGTGTATAAGTACAAACAGAAAGATTTAAAAAGGCTTTAAAAATGCTACACTTCAACTTGGAAAAATGATGTGCTGAGAACCACAATGAAGGCCCAAGTCCCCTGCAGACTGAGGCAACAAGGCAAAGGCAGGAGCAAAGCTAGAGAAAGGGGTTACAAATTTGCAGGTATTGTCAATAAATGGATTTTAAAAGTCAGGGCTTTTGTGCAAGTTTTCCACTTGCTGAACCCCAAAACCCCCACTTGCCACCTGTTCAGTGTTGATCAAGAATACTTTCTAGTTTAGGGAAGAAAATTACCTACAAATCTTAATTTGAAAGACAAGCCTCCTTTTTTGAGATTCAGCATATAGACAGATGGCATCACTAGACAGAGGTAATATTGAGACTGTGATTCACCTTTGAAAACTCATTCTGCTCAAGGCTACACCTTCAAAGACACTTCACACACCTGGCCTGTAAAGGCTCTGGTATGCAAGACAATTATCACAATAACATAAAAAAATCAAGAAAGAAATAATTCTCAACTTCATTCCAGAATTTAGATTTTTGGGCTATGGGAATAAAGGTCACTACTAATTTAAAGAATATTGTTACTCCACCTAATATAGGAGCACCCTGATTCAACAGTAGTTGAACTGGTCCCAGGGTTGGATTTTATCCTTATCAGTTTACAAACAGATGTACCAGAACTAAACTTCCTTTACACTCAGTAAGAATTGTTTTGCTTTAAGAACAGGATCAGGAACAAAAGTATTCTAAATAATTTGCTATCACATAGCTTCTGGACCAAATTCTCAGGTTAGCAGCTGTGTAGTTTTTGCAAAGTCTGCAAGTCAGTGCTGGCCTGAGTCACACTCTTAGAGAAAGAAGGGGGGAAAAAATACCCCAGAAAAACCCATAAACCCCACAACATCTACAAACTTATTTATTAAAAAACTTTAAAAAGCTTTAAAAGTCCAAGTGCTTGAACCACAGATAGCATCTGGACACTGTAAGCCATGAACTGCCTTTAATGTAATCCCAAATTCTGGAATGATACTCTCTTTCATCCTCTTAGCTGTGTTAAGACTATTCAATTGTGAGAAGAGCCCATTAATTCCTTGTGGCTCCACTATCCTAGCATGTTGGTAGGATGTTGGCAGACTTTCCCTTCCCAGCCCAGATACTGGGGTTATTGCTTTTGCACCATTGTGTTTCCTTCTGTCATTAGACAGGCCCACAGTTATGCCAGGCCAGTCTCCTTCATAATCCAGTTTCAAAAGATCAGAAGAGTATTTTAAAAGCATGTGGTGCCTCCTGCAATTTCTCACATGCAATACTGTGTAGAATAACCTCAATTATGGTGAATTAAGCCCACATTAAAATCATAAGCAATGAATTTCACAGTCCTGCCACATTTGTTTGCCATATGTTTTGGCATTTTAGAAACAAATTATCTAAGGCACATAATCAAGTTATTTATGCAAAGTCAATGTAAGTAAGCATCCAGCCCACATATGATAGATCACTTCCTAAGGTCTATTTCCAATTTCCTCATAAATCACTGGACTGTGTGAGCTTGCTTTAGAGAGAAGATCTTGAGCTATTGAGGAAAGTACAAGTACATATGAACAAAGCATGGAGGCTGATTAACTTCTGGTACAATTTGGAGCAAAAGGCAGGAGAGAGTTCTGGAAAATAATTATCGAGCTTTGTATGGCTGTGATCTGAAATAAGTAATCAAATCACTTCAAGTTGAAGACCACTATCAAGCTGGTCTCATTAAAAAAAATTTGTCTACATGTTCTTAAACCTTGCTATGTTATGTATTTTTGAAGAGGCTGCCTTGGCATATTATGAAATCTACCTTCAATCACACACAGTTTGTGAAGAGTTCTAATTGTAAGAATAACATTATAAGACTATACTCCTTTAAAAGTATCATTATCTTTTCCTGATGTGCAAGATGATATGTAAAATATTCTAAAAGACATATTAAACAGCAATGTCTTCTACTGTTCTTAAAGAAATAACTTCAGAGCAATCCCCTGAATGTAAAAGCCACCTGTAAAAAAAAATTACATTTAGTAACAGCTAACTCTGTCAGCACATCAGTTAGTTTAAGTTGGGAAGGAAAACGGAGCTCTGTCTTGTGATAAGCAACCTTTATCACTCTTTTTGGACAGCTCATTTTTGGCGAGTCTGTAACAAAGCAGTTGATTTGACCTCTTTCAGCACAATTTTAGATGTGCTCAAAACAAACACCTCTGAGTTCACTGACAGTGATAAAACATAAGAAAAACAGTAACACAAGCCAGAGTTGTTAAGACTCACACCAACCTTTGCTGCCATTCACCATGAATGTGTGTGCCCAGACTGCAGACCACGAAAGTGAAAAGTTCAATTGCTACTAGGTATTGTATAAATGCATAGTAGGAGAAGCCTTACTGCAAAGAAAAAACAGATAATGTACAGAGAAGCACTTAGAAGACAGACAAGAAAGTGACAGGTTACAGAGCTCATCAATGGCACAACCAGAAGTAAAGCAGCTTCCCTAAGAAGAAAACCTGGTTCTTACCTCACTCTGCTCACTATAAGCACAAACAGTAGCTATCTGGGTTACACCCTGGTTCTTGTTTCCTCAGTTTGTTGAGAAATCTGACCGCTTGAAGATATTTCACTTCTACCTGCTCTGACTCCAGCTGTTTCAGCACTTCTCAAATGTAGGCTTTTTGGAAGTTTTTAACACAGCCAAGTAATTACATGTAGGTATTTTAAAGAGAAAACGTCTCTGTTTCAGAAATCAACAGGAATCAGGATATTTCAAAACAAAATAAAGCTTTTTGGGATGTTTAAGGATTTGAGATAAAGTGATTTAATATGAAATCCTTTTTAGTTCAGAAACTGCTTATCATAGAAGTACTTATCATATCATGCCAAATAATTTGGAAAATTCTAACCAGCAATTTCTTAGTCTCCAATTCTTCATGTGATACAAAGTGTTCAAAACATATAGAAGTGGCATTTGGGAATATGGTTTAGTGATGGCCTTCGCAGTGCTGGGTCAATGGTTGGACTTCATGATTTTAGAGGTTTTTCTCACTTCAATAATGCTGTAACCGAAGTTTAAAATTTGGGCTGAATTGATAGAATGGTTTCAGTAAACAACTGAATTAAGAGATGCAGAGGTTGAGAGGTTGTGGTCCCCCTGTTACTGGCCAGCCATTCTAACTAGAAAATCCAGGTCCTCCTTCAAGGAACCAAAACAAACTGTGACATGACAACATGTGTGGGACCATTCTATGCTTGATTGTCAACTTTTCCTGAGAAAGGCAAGCTGAAAATTGTTAATTGTTCCATATTCAGTGCAGAACAATACATGACTATGTGCCTGTCCCATTCACAGATTTCTTGTACAATTCTGTGGGAACATTTGGTGACCTTTGAAATAAGAGATAAATACAATATTTTGCGTGGAACTTCCAGCTCCCAAGCTTCACCAGTTCATATATACACATTCCAAGCATGATAAACAGTTTACCTCAAACTAGTCTTCTGTTGTTCTTCTTCTTGGTGCTCCACAATGCCATGTAGATCTGGTGGCATGAAGACTTCTTTATTAACATTGTTCACCCAGCTGATCTTTGCTTTGCTTGTTTTGTTCTGACCCACTTCAGCTAAAACATGAAGCAAGAATAGTTTTTCTCACATGTTCAGGGTTCTTAAGAAAGGATTTCTTAAGAAAGAAGTATAGGTATTTGCATTTAGGCCTACAGCTATTTCTAAAGCCCACTACACTTGAATTGTTTTCAGAAGCAGATCTGATGTCTTCTCAAGAACACCTTTTTAATGCTACTAAAATTTTGTCAAATATTGTTCTGAATACTCCATTTTACTACACCAGTTATATCTGCTTTTAACCTTAAAGTGATCCTAAATCGAGTTTTCTGCAAGAACCTGGTGAAGACTGATGTTGCAGTTAGACAAATACTGAAAGTTCATCCTCAGTGTTCCAAGGAAGGAAAAAATTATTAAACCAGAAGAAACTGAAAATATGTTGAAGTACATTCAACTTTTCCCTTCTTGAGCAGTAAACTGGAAGTTGGTCATAACTCACTTAGGCAGGTGGCTAACCTTTTATGAACAGAATTACCACAAGATGTTAAAAAGGTAACATAAAAAACCTAAACAAACAAAAAAGCCCCACCTCACTCAGAAATGTAAATACATTTGCATTTCTTTTTAGGGTGGGACAAAATCCTATTCTAATAATCCCTTTCAGAGAAAAAAACACTCCATTATTTTCTCTAATGCCTCTTCCACTCCACCAACAATTTAGAAGTGAAGAATTTCTTAGGGTTCAAAAATAAGCAAGATTTTAATTCACACTTTTGCTACCTATAACTGCAAGGAAAAGTATTTTCCTATCTCATGAGTCATTGAAACCAAGCAATTGTACATAGTTCTGAATATGTCAACATGTCCCTTTGTTTAAGTAACAAGATTGCAATTAATTAACTTTCCTTTAAGATGGTATGACTTTTAGTACTGTACTTTAAGATACAATTTACTGTGAAATTTAGCTAGAATTGTACAGCTGATTTTCATAACTTTCAAACACAAAACCAGACAACATTACAAACACAGCACACTAACCAACCATGGGAGTGTTTTTCTGCATTCTTTTCTGTTTCAGGCCTTTTTAATTTAAAAACTCAAAGCAGTAACCTCAAACTGAATAAACTGACATTATTAAAAATTATCTCTGAAAATATAGAAATTGAGAAGGTGCAATACTACAGGGTTAGACAGAGGCAAACAAGGCTAACTTGAACCGATAGGAAAACAAGGCTAACAAAACCCATAGAAAGCAACAAACTTTAGTCCATTCACAGTATGGAAGGAAGTACCTTACTTGCTTCACTAGAACATATCAAAACCCCTTGACAGAACCAAAAAAACTATCTAGTACAAATATCAATATGATTTGATATAAATAATGTAAGTCTTGCCCTTCTAAATCAAAAGGATTTAGTAGAACTTGAGGAGGTTAAAAGGGGACATAGCTCAGTTTCGCTAAGAAAAAAAATCACTTTCTATACAAAGAATGATAAAACAGGACACTTAAGATTAAAAGTCAGATGATGAGAAATTTAATAATATGGGGGGAGGGGTCTATATATTCCTGGATATTATATAATATGTTTTTGTGAATACAGATTGACTGCTCACTCCCTCCCTCCAAGGGGTAAAGTTAATGGTGACCCACCATACAATGGGGATTATGGGTGCACTTAAAGTTCACCTGGACACAGGATGCCAGTCACAGCTGCCAGAGCTTTCAGCACATATATTTCAATTTGTTATAACCACTATCTCTAGCTTGTCATGCCTGCCATTAAGCCTCAAAGGTCTCAAACCAAGCAATCAAACTCAATCTTGGAAATTCATGTTAAAGAGCAGTTTCCTCAATCTTGGATTCTTTGCATGCTCCTAAATTACTCACAGGGCCACAGAAATGGAAGTGAGAATGAGTCTAGGAGTGCAGAGAGCTTTTAATCCTACACATAAACACAAGCCAGTCCCTTCTATTAGCAGTCACCACTCTTTAATATACAGCACTGTGGAAGAAAGCTTATGCTGTAAACTACATGAAAAGTCTCTTTTTTGCATCATTTTCCACTTCTAGAGAGACCTGTATTCTTGCATTTCACAGACAACATTGTCTGAGGTTAGCAAAGTAAGAGGCAGCCTTTCCAAAATAAAGTACCAAAACAAATTTCCAAATGCTTACCAATGGTGGCAGGCTTCCTGCGCATGGAAGCTCTGATAATATCTGCTCCATGGATCTTATCCCTGTGTCTCTTCGACTTGGCCTCATAAAACCACTGCCCACTCATATTCTTCAGCTGAACACGGTCTTTGACTTTTTCTGGTAAATGCCTGAGGAAGAGAAAAAATTAATAAATGAAATATAAACATATTTCACATATTTACCTATGTTAACAGGAAAAAAAGAGTCATATTTTTTGGTTGCTTGTTTTTTGTTTTGCGGAGCAGGGTTGTGTTTTGTTTGTTGACTTTTTTTTTGTAACACAGTCTCCACATGCTACTTCCATCTTCTCACCTATTATGCTCCTTATTTAATTATGAAGGATGACAATGAGCTGGAAAGGGAAGAGCCTCAGCCTTATTACTTCAATCTATGCTCTGAGGGTAACTCTTTAAAAAAATAAAACAAACAGCTTTGCTATGATAAACACTCAAGCACTAGAGAAGTTTCCAGTAACTGTAGATTTTGACTTCCTGCCTTCAAAGGCCAGTTTTCCAAGATTAAACTTGAGACAAACTAGTAGAACAGCATAAAAAGTCCCTAGCAAAATTAAAAGCATGGCTATTTTGAGGCTCAGAAGATACCTCTTCAGGGTTTTTTTTTTTTTGGCACTGCTTTTACACACACACAGAGTCCAATGTGTACCGGAAGCATGGTGCCATTTTTTCCATAAATTACACAAAAATCCTTATATGAATACAATGAGTTACAAATAAAAATGTCATCACATGCAAGAAACAAAAAAAATAAATTTTTGCTATTTATTTTATTAATCTAGATATATCCATCACTTGAACTGCAGTCATTTTAAAAACTGGGATACAAATTTTAAATAATTTGTTTTCAGGCTTCAGGGTTTTCTGGCTTTTATGAGGCATGCTTTAACAGAATAAGTAGTTGCTGTGGGCAATTTGGGAGGTTGTTTTTTTTCCCTTGTTAGGCATGTAACATATTAGGCTTACACATGGCCTGAAGACTAACCTGCAGATCAGAGAAGTTGCCACACAGATTTAGAGAGCACTTAAACAATGAAAAGTCAAGTCATGCTTCATCTTCCTTCTCCATTTATGTCCTTTACTTAGGCAAAATAAGCTAACAACAGAGCCCAAGGGAAAAATGAAATCAGGTCCATTTACTGAGACTTGAAGGCTAAGCACAATCCACATCGCTGTGGAATGGTGCTGTCTATCACAGGCCTGATGGACAATCATGAATGGTTTGGGTTGGGAGGGACCTTTAAAGATCATCCAGCCTACGTACAGTTCACGAGAGTGTGACATTTCTCATGGGTTTAGGGGACAGATCTTCTGGTACAATTATTAACTGTGATGACAGCCCTTTAATTACAGGCTGCAGGTTTCATTGTCACATACAGACAGTCATTCACAGCAGAGAAAGGACACCGGGTTAGTCCCAACCCTCAAACTAAGATAGACCATTCTCATCTGTCAATCAGCTTCTTTTTCATCTTTGTATGGCCAGATATGAAAAGTCTTATTTGAATGCATCAGGTATATTACAATTTGAACACTTAAAACTTCATTTTGAAAGTACTGTCAAAAATCAGTCCCTCCTAGGGATGCCTCAAATCTACTACATACAGTTTAGGCTACCAGATGTTGAGGCCACCATTGTCATTTTTAACTCCAAGATTCAACAGTCCATAGTATTACTGGGTCATTTAAAATTTCTCTCTCCCTCTGTGCTTCTCTAAGGGCCAAACTATGTACCTTTCCTAAGCAGTTGCTCTAAGTTGAAGCAGGAACACAGTAGTAGCTTCCCTTTGTCCTCCAGCAAATATATTACTCAGTTTATAAATGCAGCCAGCAGGAAGAATGGAAATGTAGAACACACAAATACTTTACACAGGTGGCTGCTTCTCCCTTTCACCTTCTTTCACATGTGTTATTTGTCTTCTCAGAAGTGATGCCCCTTAGGGCAAGGACTGGCTTTTCAGCTGTTTGTACAGCCTGCAAGGCACCAAGTGCTCTGGGACGGTATGACAACATATGCCAAGGGAGGTTCTCTAGCGGGAGGGTACTGAGTCACAGGACAAATATTCAGTGTCCTCACCCTGTTTGATTCAATCATTTTACCCCAGACACTGCTCACCCCTCTCCCTTCGTTATTCAGGCACTGAAACTGAGGTGTGGCTGGAAACCTTTACAAGTTGGCTCAGAGCTGAGGAAGCTCGGCTGGGCTGTGGAAGGAGACAGGATTCCAGGCCTCTCAGCTGTTGCAGCCTGCTTACCTGCCTGCAGGACTCTCAGATCTGTGACCAGTTAACATAACTAGACAGAGACAGAGGTATGGAGTTGTCACAGCTCTAGACTCAATAAATGTCACCTGGACAAAGCAGCTCTCATTTTATCTGGAAGTGAAAGCACCCTGCTCCCACCTCTGCTTGCTGCCTATGAGAGTTAGTGTACCTTAACTCCACCAGCTCAACAGGCCTTCTAACTTTGGGAATTAATTAATTATGCTTCCTAACAAAGGTATAAAAGTACTCTCAATTTTCACAGCACTTCCTTTACAAATTACCTACCTGCCTGCCTCATAGGGTTTGTATGGTGAGAACTAACAGATGATCACAGCAGCTGACTTAAACAGACTTTTACTATCTCACTCAAAGTAAGCTTGCCTTACTTGCCTTTTCAAGAGAGGTGTTTAGCTTGTCAGTCACATTGTTTTTGAGGAACTAAGAGCAACATAAGTATTAAAGCTATTTCCAGGCATTTCTAGCTACAAATAAAGAAACAGATTTCCATTATCAGAAAGACAATTAGTTCTAGGTCTTGACAACAAAAAAGTTTTTAAGTCCCCTGTGTTCACCAAGACATCATAGACTTGTAATCCCTGTGACTGTTTTTGCAACAAATGAGAATTTATTCAATGCTCCTTGAATTCTCAAGATTTGCTAGGAGGTCGTCTTAGGGGTAACATCAAACTGCTTGCACTATGTGGGCTTGTTTGACTGCTAGGAATTAGACAGAGATTGTGGTTTACCTTGAAAGCAGCTGTGGAGAATCAGCCTGCAGCCATGGTTTTCCACAGCTATGTCAGCTTCCCAGCAAACCACAACAGGACTAGAAGCCAAAAACTGATTCTACACCAGCTCCCCAGTTAACAAAGAGGCTGACCAAGTTGCCATTAAACATTTCCCTTGGTGATCAAAGAATTAATAGACATCCAGATTAAGAATCAGATTGTGGGCTCAGTTGCCAAGTCTACAATTAGGAGAAAATGCAGCAAGACCTTCATGTATGATGCAAGTATGTATTCTGGAGTCCCTCTGTGCTCTGTTAAAATGCCAGTTAGTTTATGCTGTTATTTTTCAAGGGGGAAACAGCCTGAAGTTATAATGAAACTAGTGCCCATTTCTCCAATAGGAACTTTAAACTCAAGAAAGTAAAGGTACGTGGTTAAAAGGAAATTTAAAAGAGGATTTTAGACTGAATAAGACTTTCCCATTATTTAATAGGATGTTTCCACTATGCCAAGGTGAAACATGTTTTATGGCAAGATGGAAAAATTGTCATCTCCCCTAGGGCAGTAAGTACATGCAGATTGCACTAAGCAGGAATACAAACCCGCTGTCTGCCACTCTGCAGGCAAACAGAAAATCTATGCATGGATTAATTGGGTTGTTCCTCTTCACTTCTGGAACATCTAATAATGGGCCAGATCATATGGTATCACTGTAAGGCAGGAAATCCGCTCTGATATAATCAGTCCCTGACAACCCTCTTATCACCAGTCCAGAACGATTTATCCGGTGTTTGTAGGCTACTGTAACAGGTCATTGCATGAGCAAAGAGGTAACAATTCATCCTTGTTTTTTGAAAAAAGAGTATCTAGCAATACACACCTATATCTAAATTTTTTCATCTACACCTTCCTCAGTGTCTCAATTCCCTCTCCTGCACCTGCCTTACTCATTGTCTACATTACAAGTCACCAAGCTGTTACTACTGACAGCTTAATACCTTATTTGATTACCTTACACCCCAATTGACAGCTTAAGTTGAGCTTTTCAGATAAGAGAATCTGTGTGGTGCCAGCATATTCTGTGACTCCTCGTGATAAATGAAGGAGGATTTAGATCAAGGTCTGTGTTTGCCTCCAAGATAGATTCATTATTGTCCCACACACCCGAATCAGAACATACAGAAAAAGCATCTTCGAGTCCAATATCACAATAAAGCCTTTAAAAATCCTGATATTACCACACCTTATCAACAAATTGACTTCTGAAACCTCCCTTCTGCAAATGGAATACCAAAATACTAAATAAGTGGAGAAGCTGAAAGAGAAATTTGATTAATTTTATCTCAGTTCTATTTGCTGCAAATATAACAAATCACAAACCAACAAAAAGACAAAGGATCTAGGTTCTGAGTCACATTCACACAGAAAAGACAAACTTTTTGTAGTATCACTCATGCAAGAAGTGGAGTAAAATGATATTAGACCAGGTATTTTAAAAGCCAGGCTTGTTTATTAGTCTTCTTTCTTCTTTGAGAGTAGGAAACAACTACAAAAAGTTTACAGGACAAAGTAGTAATTATTTAAACATTCCACCTTGTATGAACATGCCTCTTTAGTCTGTAAATATCTATACAAGGTATAGGAAGAAAGTCTGTTCTGACATTTGTTAGAGAACTACACCCAAAATACTTGTAGTGGGCAGTCCCAAATTGCAAATAAGCTATCTTTTGCATGGTAGCTGCACATGATTTTACAAAACCCTAAAAACAAAAAAAAACCCATCAGTTATTATTTAATTGGTTTAAGCAATAGAGTAATATAATTTCAAACTGTTGGAGGGCTATACTAGAAAGAACAAAGCAGACCTATGGGGTTATGCAACCTTTCCCCATCCTTGCCATCACAATTCCTCATAAGGAACACCTCTAACTCTTGCCTTTCGGGTCTTTCTAGACAGCAAGATTTCTGATAGTTAGAAGTAGCTGGATACATGAAAAAGCAAGCCAATTCTATCTGTAGTAATGCATGTTCTTCCATTTTATACCTCTTCAGAATCTGTGCGTCTACTGTGTTTGTTAAGTCTACTAACAATACCCTGATGAACAAATCTAAGGCATCATCT